AAAACCAGAATGTTCCAAAATGAAATATCACTTCACCATCTATCCAGCACAGCCGGCCCCGTCTCTGTGGATTAATCTTCATCAGTCAAAATGGAGCCTCCACATCTATAGCCAGCTCCCTGTAGATTGCTTGAGCATGCCAGTACTTCACACACACACACACACACACACACACACACACACACACACACACACACACACACACACACACACACACACACACACACACACCTGTGTCTCTTTATGATTTCCTCTCAGAATGTAATCACTACCAGCCTAATCTAAAGCTCACAAAAGCTTCTCATCTGCTTTTAGCAAAGTGCAATCAGCATACATTTTCTAGTGAGAGCCAATACATCTAATGCAGATAGCTCTGTTTGAAGATATTGTATTATATCCTTACTGCAAAGGTATGTTTTGCACAAAACGCAGAACATAATAAAGAAATAAGTAAGTCAGTAAAATATGGCTCTCCAAAGACAAATACCGGAAAGCTCAACGGTAGTGAATCTGCCCACATGTGAAACATGCTGCTGTTATGAAAGAAGGATAGGACAGCAGGGATGCAGATAATCTGAAATAATACAGGCACCATAGTAAATGTGTACTGATCTTTTCAAAATCTCTTTTTTGTAAACAGGTTGCTAAACTTGGAAGCAAAACGTGGATTCGAGGCAGAAAAAAATCACAATGAAGCCAAAAATTAAAATGAAATTAAATTGTTTAATATATCATTTAATATGATGTTATAGAAATGGTGGCAGTATTGGGCAGGTCATGCTCTGCAGTCAGTCCGGGTGACACTTTCCAGCGCACAGAATTTAAAAGACAGCCTAACCCATTATGATCAGTGAGTTTAGACTGCTCCTGAAACAGCAAAATAAGCTCAACAAGTGGACACTTGTTTGTAGTCCTCCAGACAAAAAAGTGGACCTACTGAGGCCAACATGGTGAGGTGGGAAAACTGAGCTATAAAGTTGTTGTTGAGGTGCTGTGGTAAAGTTAAATCAGAGGCTATAAAGCTGCTTAGCCCAACCTATTTGAACGCAAATGACACCTCAACACCGGACTGTGGCTAAATCCATCCTGGGAAAGTTGAAGAGACAGTATCGCAACATATTTTGGGTCTTAGCAAAAGGAAACAGTGGTGGCAGAAACATGAAGGTTCATCTATTACCGAGATAATATATACCTTTTCTAGAAATGCAGCAAAAGCATAAAACAGCAGTCGTGTGCTGTATTTTCTTTCCAACGTTTACTACTTTTAAAACATGTTTATTGCCCCGGGAGCCGCCAGCCTTCAGCAGCAATCTTTTCACTGGAATAAATGATTGCTCTTGATTATATGAATTTAACCACAGTGGTGTCAAATATTGTTCTATTATATTTGTCTCTCTTTTCCTTTTTATTCTTTTTACTGGTAAAAAGTGATGCATTGCATTAACTGCTCAGCAGTGGGCATGTTATTATTAAGAAAATTAAAGTCCTTCCAGTGTGATCCATTATAGCTTTTAAATATATCCCTGATCAGCTAATTTAATATCAGTATATAAGTATATAAACATACCCAAAATTTGACTTTAACAGGCCAAGTGTTTTTCCATATGGTCACAGTTTAGTCAGGCATAAGAGGGCTGTGTACAACAGTTTCAAATGAAACATTATATGTGTGCATATGTGAATCAGATCTGTAATGGTGGCCAAGCTGATCCATGTAGATTCTTGCTTCTAAAAAAATTCAACTGCGAACTAGAAAAAAAGCTTTAATCCATCTAAGCGAAACAATGCAGTCCGAGCTGATGAAGACATGGAAACTCAGACATTCCTCTTTTTAATCTAAAGTGGCTTCAATCAGTCAGCTTTAAATCATCTGATGGATTTTTATGGCGTGTAATTTATAACAAAGTGTTATCATTCAGATTCACATTATAAATTTTATGGTTACAGGAACTGTGAATAGAGGAAACGAATACAACATGATCAAAAACACTATTTTCAATAGTTAATTGTCTGTGAATATGGGAAACTGTCTGAGCCCTGGTCGTTAAAGTTCATTTCATTCCTCATAAACATGTTAATATGTTTGTCAAGACTGTTGATACCAGTGCATGTAATGGTTATTTTCTCTGAGAGAGAAAAAGCTTTAGTATTAGTATGCAGTGCATACACAAAGAAAATTTTAAAAAGTACAAATAACTTATTGTAAGATCTGAAAGACCTGAAAGAATAGAAGTACCAAGGGCTCAGAGAAGAGCTCAAGAAGATGTGGAGGATGAAGGTAACAGTGGTCCCAGTGGTGATTGGAGCACTTGGTGCAGTGACTCCCAAGATAGGCGAGTGGCTCCAGCAGATCCCAGGAACAACATCCGAGATCTCTGTCCAGAAGAGCACAGACCTAGGAACAGCAGAGATACTGCGCAGGACTCTCAAGCTCCCAGGTCTGTGGTAGAGGACCTGAGCTTGAAGGATAAAGACCACCCACAGGAGTGACAGAGGAATTAATTATGTATATAGTTGTTGATGCATCTATTTTCAAATTAAAATTAAGTTTTCTTTTACAAAATATTGTAGAAATGCAAAGTTGCATTTAAGCTAAAAAAAAAAAAAAAGACACATATCTAGTTCTATACAGTCCAATCGTTTCTGCAAAATTTCTATGTACTAAAAATCTCAGAATATTTCAGATCTCAGTGACCTCAACACTCAAGGTCAGGGGTCAGATTTCAAGATTTCAGAAAATCTTGTGAATGCTAAGATTTTGAAACTGATACCAAAGGTGTATATGCACACATATGTATTCGTACATATGTACACATTTTTAGGAGGCTGAAAGGTACCACTGGCTGCTGCAAGTAGTTTCTTTCTTTTTTTTCCTTTTTTTCACTGAAAAGTAGGACATGAGTGTTATAGTAAAATGCAAATAATGCAAATGGTATCTGGGACATAAACAATCATGTTATGCTCCTAACAGAGCTTCAGCTCTTTGCAAGTACACACAGCATGCTACCACAAAGCTAGCAAAGAACCAAGAACGATGAGCCATTATATTTAAACATCTGTTGGGAGGCACATTGAAATCTGTAGCATTATATAACAGGACAGATTTTGTTATGATTTAAATGTCTAGGATACACCTGAACATGTCACAGACAAAAGAATATAAATATTATTTTACCATTTTAGCACTTGAATTTAATTGTTATTACAGGAGACAGCAACAGCTCCCTCTGAGCTGTAGTCATAACAGGAAGCAAATGTAGGTCATAACTCAACGTAGAGAGATGGGGCTGGCGGTGGCAGTGCAGCAGCATCAATAATGCTGTTGTGGATCAGGATTATTTTAGTTAACTAAAATTAAAGTAAAGTGTAAAACAACAATTTAGTTAACTGATATAAAAAAGACAGTAAAATAAAGTAAAATATAATAAACATATACTGGAAATATCCTTAGCTTTAGCCTTTGCTTAGACTTGATTTATATGTTTAATACTGGGAAGTCTATTGTGTTTGTTACACTTGTACAATAATCAATATATAGTCAATAATAGAGGTTAAACAGCCAAGGTGAATTTGATCATTAGAAAATTTATATCTCTTTTTTCAGTAATAGCTGACCATGTTTATGTCTATCAGTGATACAAAGATGGATGTGGCCAGTGTCATGGCATCCATTGGTTTTGTGGGCTCTCATTTTGAACCCTTGAGCTTGTTATTTCAGTTCACCTTTATTATTTTCAAAACAGGACATCGCTGTATTTGGATAAAATCATTTTAATCTGCCAGTTAATATTCCCCCATGCTAGTTTTCCATAAGTCGCTGTGACATTAAACGTAATATGCAAGACTCAAAACAAAATGTACCTTCCTGACAAAGTTAACTTAACTTTTCAACCTCAGAGATTTCTGCTTGATGTGCCCATAGCCTGGAGGTAAATCTCTGCACAACTAAATGAAATCTCCCATTAAATCACTGGAAACCAAAGCATAAAGCTATTTTCTGCAGGCTGTAAGACTTTTACATGTTAATGAGATGTGTCCAGAATTTGAACATTTTGGAATCCGCAGACAGGAACCTCCTGAGGCTCCTGTTGGTTTCCCTTTGTTGATTTCTTGCACATCAGTAAATCCTCAAACTTACTTCAACAAACCGAGGCCGCTTTACTCTCTTTTACACGTTGACTGACGTCAGAACTGGTATTTTGAAGTTTTATAGCGAGCTGTGTGCACGCTAGAATTTCTCATCTGCACGTCAAACGCACGAGCCAACGTTCACTCGGGCTTGTTTGCTCTGTGGTTGTAGTAATTGACAGGGTGTGAAGTCGTTTAGTGGGTTCAGTTGCAGGTTTGATTTTTATGAGATGGTCTGTTTGCTGAAGCGACAAGCAGCCATTGTTACCCCACATTTCCAGTGATGTTACAGCCCAATTACCCTCCAATCACACGCATGGCCAGAACCAGTAACCGGGCAGTAAAATAGGCAGACACTTGGTCTCTAAGTCTCCAATGACCCACATATGTTTTCCTGCTATTATGAAGACTTTTGAGCGAGTGCACACACACACATACACACACGCACACACTCATGAGCATGTGAAGAGCGTATACAATTGCACTGAGATATTTGTTATAGTATGAAAACCTCTTTTAGCTGTATGTATTTTCTAACTTTAAGGTTGGGTTGAGCTAAAAAACAATGCTTTAGGTCTTAACAATATTAAAATAGAGTCAGTGTCTTGTACTGTGACATTTAGTGCTTCATCGCCAGTGTGCTCCATGGTGCTTGTTGCTGAGTATGAAATAGAGCATGTCTTGGTTTCAGTACAGTAAATGTTGCCGTCTAGATGAGTGATTAGATTTAAGGCATTGCTATTTATCCACATTTATGTCACTGGTCCCATTAGTCTAATCCTCCCACAACACTACAAAGTCAACCAAAGTCAAAGTATGTTCACTGCAGTCTGTGAATAAAGTTAAAGTAAAGCAGCCAGTCATGGATCACCTGATGTTAAAAACTTTTAATTGTGTTAAATAGCTTACAAGTTCATAGCATGCAGGATAGAAAGACATTTAAATAGTATTTAAATATACATTTAAATAAGACTCTTTCTGCCAGAGTCTAAAACCAGCACACTTTTTTAAACCACATAATAATGGGAAACTTCACAAAGCAAAGTATTATTAGCTGAAGAATCCTTACGGTTAAAAACATGCTTCAAGAACCCTTCATGTTTAAAATGATTATGTGCTAGCTGGACTGCAACTACTGAACTACAGGCTTTTCTATTGTATAACTGATAAACCACATTTTGCATTTTGTTTCTTAATGCACTTTAACTGTGGAGTTTAGAGCATGTGCAGACTTCTGTCAAATTCAGGAGGAGCAGCTACAGCCCCCGGCAAAACTATGGTATCACGGCACAATAATAAATCAGAGATATGACACAGAACTATTTTATTCATTAGCTGAACATTCTGGCTTCATGAATCATACCTCAAACAAATTAATTTCAACTATTTTAATACATGACATTTCTGTTCAAGATCATGTGGAGGGGAAAAAAATGGAATCACTGTTGAGGAAATCATCTCAATTTAGTACCTCCTCAGGCTTTTATGACGCCCCAAAAGGTTTGAGGCATGGAGCTCACTAATGAAAAGCAATACTCTCCATCTGGTTAATTCCAACTTTTTCAAATAACAGCTGAGCTCAGTTTTTCACCATAAATTTTCAGTCAGATTGAAATCTTAACCCTTTTTTTGTGTCCATAGCACTGAGGTAATGGGCCTTTTCTGATTAAATGACTCTATTATCATCACCAAACCGGCTTTCTGATTAGAAGGGTACGAAAATCTGAGTGTACACTTCTGCATTTACTGCTGAAGTAATGATTGCCATCTTCCCCGGGCCTTTTATTTGATAAAGTTTGCTTGTTTTCATCAAGCAGTCATCTTCATATATGTGTCATTGGAACAGCATCAGGGTATCTTTTCCTTGCCTAGTTGGCTGACTTTGTGATTTATCACTGGAGTCACTTACATCCAATCATCTATAGTCCCAAGATTGAGAGAGAGAGAGAGCGAGATAGCCTTTCATTCTCTTTTTAGCTCACTGTAACCTTGTTTCTGTATGGATGTTAGTGCTGGTTTTCCTTTTGGTTTTCTGTATGTAGATCCCATTTAATTTTTATAATTCTGTCACAAACATTACGGCCCATTTGTTAACATTTTTGAACATTTTCCATTTTCAGGGCGTACTGCTCTGATTTTCTATCCTGACACTTTGACATCTCCTGTCTACCTGCAAGTTTTCCTCCTAGAACTTTCCCATTTCGGTTGTACTTACTCCAAGTTATAGACACGGTTGACTGGGAACAAACATCTTTAGCTACACTTAGTGTTGGATTCTTCTGGCAATGAGTTTGATTTAACTGACAGCTCTCTTGTTGGGGGCTTGCCTCCTTTCAATCAGCCAGGTGCAACAGCTTCTCTTCCACTACTTGATTTTGAAAAAACCAAATACATTAATTACAATTATTTAATGTGCTTGAGGTATCTTTCATGTTCCACTATTAAACAAAAACAGTTTTGTGACACAGTTTGTTTATTTGCTACAAGGTAAAGGAGTTGAATGAAGATCCTCCACATGCAATGATGCTATAATTTTTTGCCAGAGGGTGTAAACACTGAAACACGCCTCCTGCCTCAGAAAGGTTCATTTTGACAGATTGTTTCTGCTTAAACACAGGTGTAATTAATAGCATTAGTTATAGCCCATTTCAATTTATATATGTCATGGTGCTATACATAGAATGGGATGAAAAGTTTTGCACTTACATCTATTTGCATGTCAGAATGAAGACTGTGAAAAAGGTGTCTTAAAACACAAGTATCATGATGTTAACTGGTGAATCCCCATCAAATGAAAATGAAATGATCTCGAGAGCATGGGATAGCTATAGAAAGTGAACATCATAAGAACATCATCCTAAGAAGATAAAAATAGAAAATATCACATGCAATAACAAAACACACTTTGTGCAAATCTGAAAAGCACTGAATGGATTTACATTGTTTATGAACCATGCACAAATAACTGCATTTAGTCAGTCACGGCACATTTGTCTGTAAATATGGAGTCCACACTTGTTAAATTTCAATATATAAGTTAAGTAACAGCAAGTTTTAGCATTTATTTTTGGCAATTTCCTCTTCCTGACAGTTACTGTTAGATGGAAATTTGCATGTTTGTACAATTTTACTATGTTTACAATCACGATTACAAATCAACTACACCTTAAAAACATTTTAAAATGTCGCAGTGGTAGTAATTCATGCCTTACTTAGATAAGCAGAAGCTCAAACAAAAGACACCACGGCAAGAAAAGGAAAAAAGTTCACACTAAAATAGGAAGCTTTGAGAAAAAAAACCCTCTTCCATCCTAACAGTGCAGTAGAAGAAGAGTTTATAGAGAAAACACAAGTAATAGGTGTCATTTAATAGGCTTTCTCATACTCTCAAACTAAGAAAATAAACTTCGATGGATTAAAAATGATCATTTGCTGCAAAACTGGGGTTGGAGTTCGGGGGGATCACATTTTAGAAATATTATACAATGATGTATTAAAAAAATAATATTATGGGTTAGGATCTTTAGGAATTCCAAATACAGCCTTCATAAGATGCTTATAGTACCTCTTTAATTAACAACACCCTGACTCTTTTTTCTGCTTTTGTCACTTCTGTCATTTCCTTTCTGTTTTGAAAAGCCATCGACACAGACCACAGAGCTTCCCATTTAACTGTAAATACTGGAAGGACTATAAGAATAAGTACATTGTTGTCGTTATACGTATAGCACACGCTCCCTGTGTTTGTGAAGAATTGCCTTTTGCTAAGCGTACTTGATTACCTGGTCTTTTTATACAGTTCTTTACCAGTCCAAAAACAGTGTTTATGTTGAAGAGATCACTGGCCTTGAGGAATATAACTGGTGTCTCTAGATAATAGTCTGAATAAATATGAGGCTGGTGTTAACAGAGAAGTTATCCCAACACTCATGTCTCACCCAAGTTCAACAAACAGATTTTGTCTTGTTATGAGGGATTTTTACATTTTGTTCATGAATATTTTATCAGAATCAGAATCGCAATACTTTGATAATCCTAACAGAAATTATGTTTTTTACCCAAATATATAATGCTTATATTTCACCTTATTCGGTATTTGTAGTTTTTCAGACAACACTCAATGGTTAGAAACCAAAAGCAAAGCGAAGCCTTAGGAGGACCTGGGGCAGATGGAGATTGAGATCTCGTCATTACTGCTACACCAACACAGGGAGGATAAACGTGAGTGTGAAATTCACTTATTTCCAGACTATGTTTGTTCAGTGTCAATCCCTTCTGTCTTGAGATATGTGCTCTGTTCCATGATGTCAACCATATTTTCTCTTTTCCACCCTCGATTTTAGAAAAGAATTTTTTCTCAGCATTCATAAGTCATATTTTAACGACAAAGCTACTCTTAAAACTAGTGTTTACACTGCAGAAAACTAGAGGAGCCAGCCAATACACTTGACCCCTTTCTATCGTTCCCTCCATTATCAGCAGAGAGCTTCAGCACACAGAGAAACTGTGGGAAAATTAGCTTAAGTGTGAGGCAGGATCCCCCACAGAGAGGTCAAGTTACGTAATTTTGACTTGAATAGCTCCTTTTAACCAGCACTTGAAAAGAAAAAAAGAAGCTATTTAAAGATGTTTATGAGATTGTCACACAGACAAATTGAAAGCATAATGCTGAGTCATTTTGTACAGACACAATAAATGCATAAATTAAGAGGTTATTAAAATAATTGTTATTTGTATGGCAAAATAAATCAGGGTCCTCATTCAGACACGATGCTGACATGTGCCAGTGACTTTAGCTTGATGGAAAGGACTAAAAAGGAGCTTTAGTGAGAGCACTTAGTGCACAGAGACGTATAAAGTTCACAGAGCTAAATATCAGAGACAAGTATCATGCAGGTTCTTTCTAAGAGGTGTTATGGCATGTAACCAAAATCATGAAAAATAAACCACCATTTTGTTTAATGGAAAGTTCAACCCAGTGGAATAAACATAAAGCCATGTGCCTTTAATCTGCTGAACCATCAACAGTCGTCTTATGGTAGCTTCTGGTTTGAGCTTATGCATTTAGCCGTTTGAGTGAGACTTCCATTAATGTAAGACTTGGCACAAATGGAGCCAGACAGACCAAGATCAGATACAGCAATTGCCTAAACATGTTTACAAGTTGCACTTTCCTTCTGCAAATATACTGCAAAGTCATTTATGAGCTGAAGTCACACATGAATATGTAATAACAAGCAAGGTAAGAGACACAGGTCATTAAATGTAAAACAAGAAGGAAATGAATCCAGTGAACTGCATCGTATGAAATTCTTGCAAAAAAAAAAAAGTGTGTGTGTGTGTGTGTGTGTGTGTGTATCCTGGTGGGGACCAAAATCTGATATTTATTATACTGGTGGGGACTTTCTGCATCGTGGGGACCAAAATCCAGGTCCCCTTGGGGTTGAAAGCAATTTTCACACTCAAAATGTGGTTTTAGTGTCAGGGTTACAATTAGGTTATGGTTAGGTTTAGGGTAAGGATCAGGGTTAGGCATTTCTTTTTGATGGTTAGGGTTAGGGTAAGGGGCTAGGGAAAGCATTATGTCAATGGGATGTCCCCACGAGGATAGCAAACCAGACATGAGTGTGTGTGTGCTCTTTGCAAAAGAAAATTAACAATTACATACAAGTAATCACAAACCACCATTGAAGAGTCAATGAAGCTGAAAAGCAGGAAACCAGCTGTAACTAAAATCACCCTGCAGGTACGTGTATGTCACTTAAATCAGAGAATGAGAAGTTTTGCAGGTTTTCTCAGTGAAGACAGAAGTTGATTAAATCAAAACATTTCCTGCCATTTCAGTGACACTAGAAATACGAAAGAACAAAGGTGGGGAAGGCAGACAACTCCTCAGTGACTGGGATTTTAAAAAGCATCCTCAGAGTGTAGTTGAAAAATTGTCTCTGATCTCTTTTTTTAAACTACAGTCAACATCAGGATTAGCAACAACCTGTTTAGTTCAGTTGGAGTCTCTTTTTGTGCCATCCCTCCAGACAGGTGAACACTTCGGTCTATTTTCGGGTGACAGCCAGAAACACACGAGTTATGCACTAACCTCATAATACCCCAAACTTCCCATACACTTTCACATGCAGTTTTTCAGCTCAAGTTGTGCTTCCATCCAACATGACTGTCATTTTTTCAGATTCTTTATACACTAATTTTCTTTACACACTAAAATTCATTTTGTTAAAATGAGCAAAAGAGACACGCTGCTTTGATCTACCATGGTTTTACAAAAAACTATTAGGCTGGTCTTTATGCCTGTCTATTTATCTTGTCCTGAACTAACATTTGTCTTTTTTCCCACTTTCATTTTTGCTCTCATATTCCACTCCTCGCCTTCTTTTTGTCACTCCTCCCACGCCCTTAGATCCCGCGGCGTCCTGTTGCGTTCACCAGAGCTCTTGCTACGAGCCTTCCTGGCGCTCTCCTGTGCTTGGCGGTACTTCTCTATCATGCTTTTGTGTTTCCTCCTCAGCTTGTCATTGCACCACATCCTCTCGCAGTACTCCTCCACGTGCGGCAGATTCGACGGCCCGATGAGCTGCATGATATCCTTGAACCATATGCGCGACTGGCCGATTTGGCTTGATGAACCGCCCCTGCTGTACGCGCTGCAAGGCATCCAGGCTCTGAAAGTCCCTGTAGACCGGTCTTTGATTGAGTCAGAGTTTCCTGTGTGTCCACGCGACATGAGCTCATCCACGGTCTCCCCTTGGAGGACTTCGAGGGTGATGCGGGCCAAAGTCTGCGTGAAGCCGTGCTCTCGAGAGCGGCAGATGTAGACGCCTTCATCTTGGTGGAAAAGGTTACGAAACAGGAGACCCTGATCCGTGGACATCACACGATCATCTAGCTTCACCTAAGTGTGGCAGATAGAAAATATGTGTCTGATATTTGATACAACAACATATTAATGACCTCACTAAGTCAATTCAACCATCACTGCTTTTCACTTGAAGTTTGCTTCAATTTGTCAAGTCATAATGATGCAACGTGATGGAAATAACTTTTCACAGATTTGGTTAAATCTCCACTGACTAATGCAAAGAGCTACATGTGCTAATCAAAAAAGCATGAAAAAGTTAACTGGCACTTTATATATAACTGCAATCAGACCCTTAACCTAACATTTATCTTTTTAATTTATTGCTATATATAGAGAGATTTGTTTGTTGGTTGGTTAATTCTTGATTTCTGTTTAAAGTTTTAGGATTTCTGTCCCTAAAGGAGTTCTGACCAGGATTTGACCTTAAATAGCACATGTTTCTCAGCGCAAATACCACAGAGGCATTGTTCTTTAAAGAACTAAACACTGAAGACTGCCCAACAATGTGTAAACACAGTACAAAGAAATCGGGACAAGAAAGCTTTCAGTCTTCACTTCACATTATGAGAAAAGAGAAAGGGAGAACTGTTTGTATTGTTTTCTCAACTTGGTTTGCAACATCAAAAATATATCATGGGATCAGTCACTGTTTTTATTTTTTATTTTTCTTCCGTTTTCTTTCCTCACATTCTCTAATCTTTCCATACTGCCACCCAAAGTCTCTCTGCCAACCCTATTCATTTCTATATTTTCCTCCATCTACCTCCCAACTCCCCCGTCAGATCCTATCTTTCAACCATCCTTTGATGCCAACAAAAACATGGCAGCCTTGTCAGATAGAGTGGCAGCCAGATGTTTATTTGCAGGGAAATGGAGAAGGGTGGTAATGCTTTAATACTTGCATGGCTGACCACGACACTCAGTTTAGCTTGGAGGAGCATGACCTCAAACAGTTGAATGATTACTGTGGGTTTGGGCATACAGAGCAACATAATTTTCTGACTTAAAAAGAAAAGAAAAAAAGACTGTATTTAAGTCTCAGTGACCAGCAGACAGTGAGTGACACTTTCAGTGGCATATGGTCAAGTTTTGCAGAGAATTCACAGTTTATGGAAGAGAGAGAGAATGATTGGGCATTTTGCTTTGAAATGCAGCTGCTTAATTTCAACCACATGTCAAATGGTTGTCAACTGTATCAACCACGTGCCAAACTCACACTCAAGTCTAACTTTTAAAGGCAATTACTCAGAACATTCTTTGCCAGAAGTTTTATACCACCCCTTGACTGTTTGCCAAAACCTTCCCACCTTCATCCTATTTTGGATGCAGTGACATCGACAGGCCTTTTATTGTGTTGATTCTAACCTGAATGTTGTTCACTGGGAATCTTACCTCTTCCTTGTGGTCATCACGTTGGACCAGCCAGGTGACAGTTGCTTGTGGGGAGCGAGGAACACACTCTAGGAAGGTGCTGTTGTTCTCAGTACCAAAGACCACTCTGTCTTCTGTTACATCAAGGTCTTCTTTTTTTAAAACAGAGAGTGACAAATAGTTTATTAAAGAATGAAATCTATCCAACCATCCATCCGTCCATCCATCCAACATCTTCAGTCTGTCCTGGGTCTAATCATCTCAGCTGGTTTCTTTTGTGGCAGGGGACAGTGACTCTACATTCATTCCCTCCTGAATGACTGAGCTCTTCACCATTATCTGACAATGTGAGCCCAGACCTTTGAAGGGAAGTACCACTACCTATATCCGGGTTAGGGGTTAGGGGTCTTCACTAAGATCTTCAACACTTCACTGTCCCAGTCCTGCATCCCGCCGTGCCTAAAGTCAGCCACAATTGTCCCACTGCCAAAGCGTACTAACATTAGCAGCCTCAACGACTACCGACCAGTTGCTCTAACACCTGTTATAATGAAGTGCTTTGAGAAACTGGTCCGACGTCACATCATGTCCTGACTGCCACCCACACTCGACCCGCTCCAGTTTGCATACAGAGCTAACAGATCAACTGAAGATGCCATTGCTACAACGCTCCACACCACCATCTCTCACCTGGAAGTGCAGGGCCGTTACGCCAGGCTGCTCTTTGTTGACTTTAGCTCTGCTTTCAATACGATACTCCCGGACAGACTAATAGATAAACTGCTGGAAATTGGACTTCCTTCCACCACCTGCCGCTGGATCAGAGACTTCCTCTCAGACCGTGTACAGAGAGTTAGAGTGGGGCCTCATCTTTCCTCAGCCCTCAGCCTCAACACCGGCTCTCCACAAGGCTGTGTACTGAGTCCCCTACTGTACACTCTGTACACACATGACTGTGTTAGTTCCCACCCAGACAACACAGTCATCAAGTTTGCAGATGATACCACTGTGGTGGGGCTCATCTCAGGGGGAGATGAGACTGCATACAGAGCTGAAGTTCAGAGGCTGTCAGATTGGTGTGCAGACAACAACCTGGACCTCAATACCACCAAAACAAAAGAACTGGTAGTTGACTTCAGAAGGAGCAAGTCCGAGCTGCAGCCTGTCAGCATCAACGGGGAGTGCGTGGAAAGGGTCTCCAGTTTCAAGTTTCTGGGTGTGCACATAGACACAGACCTCCAATGGAGCTCTAACACCTCTGCGGTCTTAAAGAAGGCCCAACAGCGTCTCCACTTTCTGAGAATCCTCAGAAAAATGGACCTGAAGAAGGAGCTGCTGACCGTCTTCTACCGCTGCTCCATTGAAAGTGTGCTGACATATTGCATCGGTGTGTGGTTCTCCAGCTGCACCACAGCACACAGAAAGGCACTCCAGAGGGTCATCAACATGGCCCAAAAAATCATTGGACATCCTCTTCCCTCCCTGAAGGACCTGTACAGCACTCGCTGTCTCAAGAGGGCACGCAGCATCCTACGGGACTGCACACACCCAGGACACCGGTGTTTAAGCTGCTGCCGTCTGGCAGGAGTTCAGGCTGCTGAGGTCCCGAACAAATAGACTCAAGGACAGCTTTTACAACAGGGCAATAGCCCTGATCAATGTAAATAGCTGACCTGACTGGATACCTCCCTGGACTTTTTAGGGGGAGGTAACAATGTTTAAAACGATAACAATAATATTTATATTTATAACAAGGTGCAATAATAATTAATGTGCAATAATAACAGTGTGCAATACACATACACTTATTCTTCTTTTTTATACTAAGTTAATATACTGTGTTGTGTTGTTTGTTACGTTGTGATGTGTCATATCGTGTCGTGTTGTGTTATATGTAGTGCCGACGTAGGACAGTTTTTCCAATTTCATTGTACTACTGTACTATGTATGACTGTGCAATGACAATAAAGAGTTATCTTATCTTATCTTATCTTACATTCTCCACAAGGACACCTTCTACTGTACAGCATTAACAGAATGAATATAAAAATAAATATAAAGACCTGAATATTAGGTGTGTAGTCACAGACAATATAGTGAATAAAATAAAACTCTGACTGACTTAGTCAAGAGTTTGTCATGTGACTACACATAAACAATGAAGAGATGGAATCTGAAGACGTCTGCCCCTTGAGTACTTATGTAAACAACCTCACACTTGGGCACAAAGAAACTTTGGTTCACCAGGTGGGTGTTAGGGAGGCATCTTTCATCTGTGCACTCCCTTACATTGTGTGCCCTTAGGTAAGAAAACACACTCTTTCTATCCCAATTCTCAATGATGTAATTCCTTTTTCTTGTCTGTCTTCACATTTTCTCACCCTGATCTCCAGTATCAACTCAGCCATTTTCTGCCAAGAACTCAGTATGTTAGCTGATATTTCTACTTCACAAATCCCAAAGCTTACACTATGAGAACTAGTTTTAAATGAAACCTGGGTTGTTTTCTGCATGCACTAACATATTGTAAAACCTTTGTCTCATATACTTGGCAAATATGTCTCAGTCACATGAGTAAAAATAGGACAGCTTACCCTGAGATAGTATAGTATTTTTTGTAGTCAGAGACCAACTGCAAATAGTTGAGATGACCACTTTAATTTACAAGCTGATTGTACAGGTTACCTGGTGGGACCTGTCTTCAAACAATCACAGTCCAGCTTAGACTGGCTGGACTCTTAAATAACTGCAGTCCAATTTATAAACACAGACAGATTGCCAGCAAGTTGCAACCAGTGTGAGTCTGTCTGCACTGGGATGCAGACTGACTCACCTGACTCCACTCATTTGTTTTGCAGTAGGCGACTCGATTCAGCTAGTTGTTATCTGGTTATATTCTTATAAAGTTAAAAGCAAAGTTTCCAATTTTCCATTTGAAAACAGATAAAATGTTTGTTTCACATCTGTCAGCTCCTGGTTGGACTCTGCATGTGACTAGTTAATGTTGATTTCTATGCAGGGTAACAAGATTTAATCAGAGTACATGTAACTGACAATTTAACCATTTCAACTAATGCAAACAGCTTGATGACTGACTCTGATAGCTTTTCATTTTATTGCTACACCAAAGTTCCTTTGAAGATGGCAACTGACTGGTCACTGACATGGTAAAGCAACCATTTCAAAGGCAATGAGATCAAATTCATTGGACCATTTTTCAGCTGATTGCCACTTTGATGTGGAATGATCAGCAACTTCAATGTTTTTCTGGGTTGTCCTACAAAAGTCTGAAATATTGCCATACCTTACACTTCGTTAAGACGCGGTTGTAGCTAACATAGTTTAAAAACCACTCCGTCTCAGGTTTCAGCTCTCCCATGATGGATTGGTTAACCACTAGTCCATGATGTCATGTGGGTTCCTTTTTTAATCATGACAGCTAGCCCTACTAGAATATGAAAATATCAATTTAGTAAGCTTTTGTTTATCCAGTGATTGTAATGCACACTAGATGACAAAAACAAAGACTACTTGATTCAGTGAAGCCCAGTCAATGAAGGGGTATGTGACAGATGATTCAATTGTTTGACTTTCAGAGAAAAGCCTTACAGTGGTTACTTCAAGAAGTCACTGTGGCCAGTCCCACATAATCAACAAAGAAGAAACAAAGAAAGGGGCAGAGTTACAGCCAAGCTTACCACTGAGATTCTGATCCACACACTGCAGTGCAGGGTTTCCATGTCTGATGTCCTGTCTGCGGTAGCGTCGTTTGCTGTTGGGAATGAATCGCGTACAGGACGATCCATCCCATGCACAGTAAGGGTCTCTGGCAAGACAGCATTCAGCACAGGCTTTCCCGTAAGTTTCACAGCGATGGAGCTTCACCTGCGCCACACCTAGTGGAGAGCTTGCATACAAGGCTTGCTGTTTGAAATTATGAGGAGAAAAAAGGAAGTAAGGCATCATGTAGACAACACTGCATGTCAACTGACAGAAGCAGGCACTGAAAGTAGCAGCTACAGTTGGATTAACTCACCCTTTTCACAGATATATCCAGTGACGTAATTGGAGTTGGTACCTGCAATGTTGAAAATAATTAACTTCTGTTGTTGCACTTAGAGGCTTAAAGAAGGGTTGAAATAGAAGAGCAGAATCATAGATTTTACAATTTATGAACCAGCTTTTTGCACAATTCTTGCATACTATCATCTGCAAATAAATCTTAAAAGATAAAGTAAACGAGATGCTGACAAGATGGCGCGGCCACGTCCAGACGCCTTCCTGACCGCTCCGCTCCGACTATCCACTTTTCTTGTTTTTTACTTATTTTTTGCTCTGGTTTACATCCCAAAATCCTCTAGCCTTATAGTATACGACAGCGGATCACTTGTAAACATCGGTGCCAAGGTTGCACATCTAATCTTGGACACTTTTAAACCTGACCCTTCCTGGCCGCCAGAGACTCTACGCGGCGCGGAGAACAACAAAGGACGGGCCGCTCATCCGAGGCGCAGAACAAAGAAGCGCCGGGGAAAACACGCTGGTATTAGGAACAGACTGAGACAGCAGGCGCATCGCGCACCACTGCCCAGTATCCTACTGGCCAATGTACAATCCATGGAGAACAAGCTCGATGACCTAAGAGCAAGGGTCACCTTCCAACGTGACATGAGGGACTGCAACATTCTGTGCTTCACAGAGACATGGCTGACCCCCACCGTGCCGAACCAGGCCGTAACTCCGTCGGATTCATTCTTTGTGCTCCGCGCGGACAGAACGGCAGAGTCGAACAAAACCAAAGGTGGAGGAGTATGTTTCATGGTAAACAGAAAGTGGTGTGATGCCAGGAGCATTTCTACTCTCTCCAGCGGCTGCTCGCCACATCTGGAGTTCCTGAGCATTAAGTGCCGCCCTTTCTATCTGCCCCGTGAGTTCACCTCAGTCATCGCCACGGCGGTCTACATCCCACCCCAAGCGGACACAGGTATGGCTTTGTCCGAATTACATGATGTGCTGAGCTCGCTTCAAAACAAGGACCCGGGCGCAGCCCTCATTGTAGCAGGAGACTTTAACAAAGCGAACCTCAGACAAGTCATGCCAAACTTTTACCAGCATGTCTCGTGTCCAACGAGAGGGGATCGGAGTTTGGATCACTGCTACACGCCATACAAGCAGGGCTACAAAGCTGTCTCACACCCGGCTTTTGGGAAGTCTGACCACAACGCCATCTTCCTCATTCCCCAGTATAAACAAAGCATACGGAGGGAAGACGTGACCACGAAGGAAGTAAAACGGTGGACTGCCCAATCAGAAGCTACGCTACAGGACGCACTCAACGACGTAGACTGGGACATGTTCAGAGCATGCGCAGTCGACATCAACGAGTTTACGGAAGTAGCAGTATGCTTCGTCAATATGCTAGCGGAGGAGATTATCCCCACTGCGAGAGTCACCACATTCCCAAACCAGAAACCGTGGATGGACAGATCGATCCGCACTGCAGTAAACGCCAGGACCGCCTCCTACAACGCGGGTCTCGCCACTGGCGATATGAGCGCCTACAAAGCGGCCTCATACGGCGTGCGGCGCGCGCCAAACGCCGGTACCGGGAACGTGTGGAGTCCCGCTTCCACCAGGGCGACACACGGAGTATGTGGCACGGACTACGCACCATTACGGACTACAAAGCCAGGGACACTGCGCCGATCAACGCCGATTCTGCATTCACCAACGAGCTGAATCGGTTCTACGCCTGTTTCGAGGTTAGCCAGGCGGCTAATGCTATCTACCGCCTGACTACCGAGGACAGTGACGTCATCAGCGAGAGACCGGTGACCAGCATCGCGGAGCATGACGTCCGAGCGGCACTGAGGAGAGTGAACACAAGGAAAGCGGCGGGGCCAGACGGCATCACCGGCCGTCTGCTGCGCTGCTGTGCTGACCAGCTAGCAGGTGTGTTCACTTAAATCTTCAGCGAGTCTCTGGCGAAGTCTGTGGTGCCCACATGCTTCAAAAGATCCACCATCGTCCCTGTGCCCAAGAACAGCAAACCCTCATCCCTGAACGATTACCGGCCAGTTGCACTGTAGTAATGAAGGTGTTTGAGAGGCTGCTGAAGAACATCATCTCCTCCTCCATCCCAGACACCACAGATCCGCTGCAGTTCGCCTACAGATCCAACAGATCCACAGAGGATGCCATCGCCCACGTCCTACACACCACTCTCAGCCACGTGGACAAGAAACAGGGTAACTATGTGCGAATGCTGTTTGTTGATTACAGTTCAGCGTTTAACACAATAGTGCCCTGCAGACTGTTCACAAAGCTGAGGGATCTGGGACTTAACAGCCGTCTGTGTGCATGGGTGTTGGACTTCCTCACTGGCAGAACTCAGGTGGTGAGGGTGGGCAGGTGCTTCTCCAACAGCATCACCATCAACACAGGAGCACCTCAGGGATGTGTCCTCTCGCCACTGCTCTACTCCCTCTACACTTCAGACTGTGTGGCCACCCATGGCTCCAACACCATTGTGAAGTTTGCTGACGACACAGTGGTGTTGGGTGCCATCTCCAACAACGATGAGGCGGCCTACATGGATGAAGTGAAGAATCTGGCATTGTGGTGCCAGGACAACCACCTCCAGCTGAACGTCAGCAAGACCAAGGAGCTGGTGGTGGACTTCAGAAGGGGTCAGCACAGAGACTACAAGCCCATTATCATCAATGGAGCTCCAGTGGAGAGGGTGCAGTCCTTCAAGTATCTTGGTGTCCACATCTCCTCAGACCTGACATGGGCTGCCCACATTCAGGTCCAGACCAAAAAGGCTAGGCAGCACCTGTATCACCTACGACAACTGAGGAAGTTCAGGGTCTCTCCAAAGATCCTCAGGATTTTCTATACAGGCGCTGTGGAGAGCATCCTCACACAGAACATGACATCGTGGTTCGGGAACAGCTGTGTGAAGGACCAAAAAGCTCTCCAGAGAGTGATCCATACAGCAGAACGCTGCTGCAGGATTGCTCTCCCCCCACTTCAGGACACCTACACCAGGAGATGCCGGACTAGAGCAGTGCAGATACTGAAGGACCCGTCCCATCCTGGCAACAAACTGTTCCAACTTCTGCAAGCTGGTAGAAGGTTCCGCATCTTCCGGGCAAGGACAGAGAGACTCAAGAGGAGCTTCTATCCCCAAGCCATCCGTGCCCTAAACACACACACCCGCCCTCTCACATCATCTATAATTGACTGAGTCAGGACTCTTCCAGACACTAAACCAAGGCACAATGTACATTTCAATTCCTTTAATTTTAAATATGTTTATATTGTCTATCCTGTAAAATAGTCAGATATCTATTCATATTAATGTACAGAATTCACCTGCTTGCTGCTACTACTGCACATTCACCCAGTGTATATACTATGTGTGTGTATATATATATATATATATATATATATATATATATATATATATATATATATATATATATATATATAATGTTCTTCCTCTACACCCCCCCCAATTTTTGCACATGTCGAGGAGCGTGTCAGGCTACATTTCACTGTGTGTTATACTTGTATAACTATGCATGTGACAAATAATAAAGAACCTTGAACCCTTGAACCTTGAACCTTGATGATAACACGTTTCTGGAATATGGATGAATCCTACAGTACATTATCACAGAGTGTATATTTAACCGACTCAATGGAATAAGCCTTACTTTAAAGACTTGTAGCTCCTCTAGTGTGACTTCCTCTGTCTCTAGACTGTTTCCATTGTTTAGTGCAATGACCTTCAACACTGTGCCAATATCTGAAAGAGAAGCAGAAAAATTAAAGGGCTACAGAACAGACATAGTGTTGTCTGCTCCAATAATTCAGTGAAAAATAATTTCCCCCAGGGATCAATAAAGTATTCTGATTCTGACTGTGCTTGGATGGCTATAATGGACCTGGATGCCTAAAAGTTATGGAATAAAAATGCACCTACCTGTGCCAATAAACATAACATCATACTGCCCATCCTCCGCCTCAACACGATCCACCACTATTTGTTTCAGCTTATAAGGAATGTTGGCCTTTACAAGCACAGGGCGACGAAGGGCTGGATACACCGGCCGCCACATCAACGGGTGGCTGCGGGCAAACTGCAGGACTGAATCGGGGAAGTCCTTTGTGCTGCCAAACTCCCTGCCAGGTTGGTTGATGATTTTACTCGGGCACTGGAGAGATATGAGGCAAATAAGAAAGACATAGAGAAACAAAGGAAAAGAGAGAAAAACTAATGACGATAGCTGAAATTCAGTCCATAGAGAAAATTGTTGTTTGGCTAACTGATGGCACATTTGCAGTGAAGAAAGTGGAAGGAGACATGGACAGGCAAACAGAATCACGACAGAAGGAAGAAATTTAAATTCTCGCCTTTTCCACGATGACTCTAAATTCCCAGCATTTTCTTGCATACAGGGGGTGTGCTTTCGGTAACAACTGTGGGCTAATTATTGTGTAGAAAACTTCTCAGAAAGCCCTCATTAAGAGTTTTATTGTGCCTGAAAACTTTGGATGAAAGTTCAGAACCACTGTTGCAGCTTTATGTGCGTAGTAGCAGTTTTTTTGCCAAAAAACAAAGAAAAAAATCTAGTCATTTGTGTCAGTGTAACAGTGAGAAAATGAATGTGCTAGGAGATTCTGTAAAAAATTAATAGTGCTGAAAACAGTCCAAATGAAAGCATTTATATGACCTATATGGTCTCTGGGTTTGTTTATTTGATTTAGATCTGCAGCTCTCCATGAAGCAGCTTAAGGTTTTGTGACACACACTGACAGTTTCATTAATCTTCATTGCAACTCTTTTACATTAGATTTATGGGTGAGAAAATGCCAGTCATCAAATACTTGACCCCTCCATCTCTGCTGGTGGTCAAAACCACTGAAAAGCAACGGCTTTTTCTGCGCTTCCAAAGCTGATTTACCTTCTTCAGTCTGTCAGTTCGTTTAGTTTTCTCTTAAGCTTTGATGGCGTTCCTGTCACAGTTAAAGGATGACGCAACCTGCTGTGGCTCTTATTAAGTTCAAGTACTTCAACAATAAGCAAGTACGGCTTGACCTCTTCTTTACAGAGGTCTTTACTTTCAAGATAAAGAAAAGAGGTTCACAAGACTGCAGTCTGGATTTAATATACAAATGGTCACCAAAGACAACAAAAGAGTACTTACTGGCTCGTTTCAATAGTGTTACTTTATTGAAGTGCAAGTGCTGCAACCAGTTTTTTCATCAGTTCAGATTGCTCAATTCAGTTGAGTTTTTATTTCTGGTTGAGTTGAGTTTCATTTGTTTCAGGGTAATTGGAGGTATTATGACACAAACATGTGTAGAGATACCAGTATCCTCAATGCTTTTTACGTCACAGAATAAAGACTATAGACTATCAGATTCTCTGATTATTTGAAGTTTGGCTTCTCTATGCTGACGACAAGTTTGACATTTAAAGAACAAAAAAGGTTGCAGTAGTAACGGTTTTGCCAAAAAATCTTAAACTGAGGTTGAGAAATGGAGAGAAATTAAATAGAGATTAATGAACTTAAACGTAACAGATTCATGAGAGTCCAGTTTCGTATTTGATCACATTATAATGGAAGGTATGGTATTGTTATATTGTATTGCGTGTAATTGTCTTTCCAGACTGCACTTCCATATGGAGGGAATTTAATTACTACTGCTTATCACAACAGTAACTGATCCACACAATAGCTCTGGAATGGCATAGATCCAGTTTCAGAGGGGGGATTTGAGCTGTGCAGGGAGGTTACCCTCAAATATGCACAAACTATCGATGCATAATTTTTCTGAGTATGCTTTCCAAATCACACTGGTTATAATTTATTCCAGAAGATGTGGAATGTATAAGCTAAACCCTTCAAAGAGAATAATAATAACTCACTAACTTCAAATGTTTATCATACAGTTTTAAATATGAATGCATGACATTGTTGTAAATTGTTCTAGCATACCTTCCAAGCACAATTTCAAATATGGAGCAAAATCAACTGGTGGTATTTGTGTACAGTAAAATTGACCTCACACGTAACCCTGAACATGGTTTCTGAACAGAAATAAGTGTACTTAAAATGCATCTGTTTTCGACCTGCTCAGCTTACACGTTGAACATTAAATGCTTGTGCAGCAGAGGAAACTTCACTAATGTGTCTCCATTCATCTGTTTGCACTTCAAGTAAAACCTAAACTGAAAAAGTTCCCAAGTTAATATTCGACCTATCTAAACTTTGCTGCTGCAGCTGAACTGCCTTATGTCTCCATTTAAAGCCCAACAATAAATAATGAGAAGGAAATGATGTATGTTTGACAGGCACCTATTAATTTATACTATTACTGTATATGTTCACGTGTCAAGCATATGTTTTGTAAGTTTAAATCCTAATGAATCACCTGCATTTTCACCCCTTTTTGACCTCGAAGGTAAAAGAAAAACAAAAACAATACTTCATACTAGATAGGTTGGTGTGGGCAGATATGGGCTGATTTAAAGCATTACAAATATAACTTTAATGCCAAAAAGTATGGTTCATCCCATCTGACTTCACTGTTCTGTAAAGATTAAGAATTAAGATAAAGTTCAAGATCAAATCTGAGGCTTTCGTGATGAAAATTTCAGTAAAGATGGCAAAAAAAAAAAAAACAATTTCAGAAAACATAAGGTTAATAAATCTATCAAATTCCATATCTGTGCCTTGGTAGGATTACCTCTACAGCTTTAGCAAAACTGTAATAAAAAAGATCCCCCCGTCATTTGGTCTGCTGGAAACAATTCTGGTGAAGTTTAAACACAGGAACATCTCAATCCAAGATAAATATCTTGAGCAGATAAATCAACTAAATCTGAAATTAACTTCCATTTTCCATTCTTTTATGTTTTGACAGGTGACTTAAGAGACGATGATGGGTAGGACGAGGCTTAAATCTGTTTCAATGAAAAATCCATGGAAATAAAAAGGACTTTAATGTTCTGTCGGTGCAAGTGAAAAAGAACAATGTAGGTTATTGTAACTGAGTTTAAGAGGAGAGGGTAACAATTTTAACTGCAGCCAAATATCAAGCCAGAAAAAAAAAGCAACCTCACTCTTCCCACCATCTGTGCCTCCTCCGGTCTGCCCTGAGCCATCACCATTTTCTTTCTCCTTCTCTATTTCCTTTTTCCTTCTCTTACTCGCAGATTAAGGCCAAGACATTCCTGTTAATCAAAGAGCCAGTGCGGAGAAACCACAGAGGTGTCTGCTCTGTTCTCACATAATTCATTTTCCTCCTGCCTCCATACTCTCCCATTCGCTATGGTAATGATGCTGCCTACACATGTGTTTGTGTGTATAACAACACTGAGTTACAGCGATGTGGCTGGGAGAACTTGACAGAGCTCTGCTGAGTGTCAGGATGTTAACCAGAAGAAGGGTCTGCACTGCGTACAGTCATCACAGCTGCACCGCCGTATACAGTAGTTTAGTTTACTGACACGGAAACTTTCTACACCCCATTCTTAATGTTGTGATAGCTCCTCTTTCCCCTCGGATTCAGTACACACAGGAGCCGAGCAACTGTTATTACATATATACACACCATTGCAGTCCTTTTTCTTTTTTTTTTGCTAAATAAGTAATGAAAGAAAAAATTAAAGTGTCAAACCACAATCAGATATGTTTCAGCTACTGTACGGGAGGTAAATTGCAAATGTTATGAGTAAGCTTCAGTTAAGTCAGTTAACCAACAGTCAAGTTTTACTATTACTAGTAAAGTTTATATATATATATGTATACATATACATATATATACATATACATATACATATATATACATATATATATATATATATATATATATAATATATATATATATATACATACATACATACATATACATACATATATATATATATATATATATATATATATATATATATATATATATATATATATATACATACATACATATATATATATACATATATATATATATAAGCCATGAATGGATGTACGTTAATCCATTCATGGCTTCATCCAATTCTCACAAGAAGTCAGCAACAGGGGAAATTTTAAGGTTTGATCTCAGAGTTGAAGGTGTATCACGACTGAAGTGTTATTGGGGCAGTTTGAACTGTTGCTGGCAGAGATGGGATGTCATCTGAGGAGGCAGAGGAGTCATTGACTCATTTGACCCAAACTAATTGACCTGGATGGGGTAAAATACTATGATTTTAATATTTGTATATTTAATAGCTTGCTGCCAAATGCAGTGGTCTGAGTTGTCTGATCTGTTTATTTGGATATGAAAAATCAGAAAAATCTTTCTTGGTTCGCAAATTCGGCCATTGAAATTATGCACTCAGTGTGAATAACAACATTAAGAATGGGTGATTCTAAAAAAAAAACCAAAATGAAGACCTAAGCACACCTGACAATAACAATTAAGTGAGGTGTCTGCATTCAGAAAGTCTTTGCAGTTGGTTTGCCAACACTAGTTATGCAGATTATAGAGACAGATTCTGAATTTCATTAGAAGTTATGAGTGTTTGCTCATAATGTTGGCATCAATAACATGTATTATGTTTTTGGGAAGCACAGCAGGGTCACTGGGATGGTTAATGCTGGGCAGCAACAATGCTCAAGTAACTTTAAAGTTAAAAATGTCCCGTATTCAGTAAATGAAAATAAAATGAACAATAAAAGGTGAATCAAATGGACCATTACGGCAAGGCTGGGATGGTCAATTTGGTAAAGTAAATCCGGTGGGCATCTTTCTTTGCCTTTAGACAACAATTCTGATGGCAAAAGAGCCAAACGGGACAGGCAAAAAAAAAAAAAAAAAAAAAAAAAAAAGTTAAAAATGATACATTTGGATTGCAATCACTCACCACGCCTGGTCTTGGATAAGGAACCCTGCCTTCATAAGCACCCCATTGGTAGTCAGGACCTTCTTTATGTGCAAAAGGTCCGTTGAAAACTTCTCTGATATCAGTCATGCGGTAAACACACACAGCAAAGCCCTGGAATACATTACTGTAAAGAAGAGAATGTAAAATGTACAGTGTTGGGATATAACATATCCAAAAATCATGTTACTGAGTCGTACAGATGTTGAGTGCACATTATTTTTAAAGCTGAGCTCTATGCGTGTTTACCTGATGGTGCTAAAAATTGCATAGACATCTGGGTTCCTTTCATCCTTGGTCCTCATCAGGAAAACATCCTCTGTTTTATCAAAAGACAGTGTCAGTGTGTGCGTGGGAGTATAAATATGTGCAGATATGATACACTGTAACCAAGTGCAGGATCATATGAAAATTCTTATGTGTGCGTGTGTGCTTTAATGTGTCTCACCAAGTTGGTTGAAGTGAGTATCGATTCCATGAGGTCCTGGTACAGAACAGACAAGTCTGGCTTTGATAAAGGTGCTCCACTTATTGACCAGCACTCTTTGACCGCCGATATCATTCTGGCTCAAGATACAGAAAATCAATCTATAAAGCACAGCTGCGTATTTATTTCCAAACACAAATCATTCATTGTTTTGGCTCTTTACACCACCTCACTGGATGTGAAGTGAAAGATGATGAAAGTGCTGAGTTTCAGCTTCAGCGTCGAATAAGGATTTTCAAGCAAGAGATCTACTCATAGTTCTTCAGTTTATGTGTATGTGTGAATGCGTATAATGGTGATCAGCTTTGGTAAAAAGCTTTTTGGCAAAAATCAGTATAGGAGTGTGGATGACATTTGTCTTGGAAAGAATTGGAGGCCTGACAAGGAAATACTACTTGTATGAGGAAGAAAAAAATAAAGATGGAAAAAGGTGAACACAAGGAGAAAGAAAGTTAGATGGTGAAAGTTTAAGTGGGTTTTTGCCTGAGTGGTTTATCCAAACTTTACTGACACAGTCTATCAAAATCAATGGAAACCCCAGCAGCTGTGTGCGTGTTTTTGTGCTTGTGTGTATTTGTGTGTAATATTTTATGCATGCCTGTATTTGCGTGTGCTGTTACAGTACAGACATGGGTTTATAAGGCAAATCATTGCGTGAAAGAATGTTACGGAGCGTGTAGGGCAGATGGAGATCATTGTTGGGAAATCTGACAGCTGTGTGCATTTTGGAAGGAGAAACATTTCATATACTTCTAAATTTCACGATCAACCTTGGGGAAAGTAAATATTTGATCGCCCCAAAAGAAATTTGTCTTTTCCACAAGGTAGTTTATGACTGACATAATAGGAGGATAAACCCATAAAACCATTACCTTCTGTCCTGGAAAATTAATTCTGCAGACATCTGTATGTGGCCATACACTCAGAAAGTCCCTTGAGTCAAACTTTTTGCTGTACAGTATCTAGCTCAGTGTTTCTGTAGCTTATCAATGACTCAAAATATGAGACCTTTCGTGACTCATCTGGTGCTCCTTTGCAATCTCATCTTCAAGTGAAATATCCCTACAGATGTCTCATTCCGGGGACAGGATATTTGAATGGCCTCGAGGAAGTGCATGTCTAGCTCACCTGAACATCTGGCTTCTCTCATCCACAGCTATCAACAAACCATCTTTCAGTGTTTCAGCATATGTAAGTATCAGTTTTTGTGGATCTCCTGAGTTAATGAAACTTTGTTTCTCTGTCTTTCTGTGGCATTATGATGTGACATGCATGATGCTATATGTATTTTATCAATGCTCAATCCTCTAATAATGCAGTTTCTTGTGTAGTTGTAGATATCTTAAAATATCATCAACAAAGCACTTTATATTTTAAGGTAAAGGCCGTACAATAATAACCAATAGAAAACCCCAACATTTAAATGTCCCCGCTATGAGCAAGCACTTGATGACAGTGGGAAGGAAAAACTCCCTGTTAGCAGGAAGAAACCTCCAGCAAAGCCAGGCTGAAGGTGTGGCGGCCATCTGCCACAACCGGTTAAGGGTGAGGGGAGGAAGATAGGGCAAAAACCCACCGTGGAAGAGAGACAGAGATTAATAATAAACACACACATAGTGAAAAGCCTGGGTCTGTGCACAACGAGCTCAATTGATGTGGCTTTTACAATTTAAATTCTAAACCTTAAAGGAAAGATTTACATCAAATATAAAAAGCATTATGGAGCATCTTACCGCACACACTCGTCCAACTCGTGTGTGTATGGCCCCCTCTGTTTCTCCAGCCTCTGTGGCCTTCTCAGTGAAGAAGAAATACACCTTATCATTGTCTCTGTCATCATTATCCGGGATGAGGTGGGCTGCAATGAACTTGGGATCTGCAAGGTTGAAGATGGAAAAGAGTCGCATGTGGGAGTATGAGTAAATCACTTTGATCTTTATTTCAGCATCTTTATAGTAAAATTTTGCATATTTCTAACAGACTTGCTGTTGTTTGTTTGTACTTCTTGTTGACTTAACATTGTCTTGTATTGTAGAAACGCTCGGGAAAGAGTGAAACATTACCATGAAGGAGTTTCTGGTCAGTCTCTGTCCTCATTGTGGAGCGACCACCCATACTTCTGAATATCACAGAGTCTCTTCCCAGGAAATCTGCTGTCAGTCCTGTATACAGCTCCCCACCTACAGAGAGACAGGAAATGTTTAAAAGAAGGGGGAAAAAGATGATGAGAAGAGGAGAGTTTACAGAAAATGGTTGCAAGAATGTAAAAAGAGGGTAATTAGTAAATAAAAAAGGAAAGGCAGCCAAAAATAATGGGTGAGTTTGAGGTTTAGTTAAATGAAGAACATAGATGCAGGACAGGAAAGAAGAAAATGAACAAACCCAACACAGAACACACAGGGAGTGTAATTTGAAACTTAAGCATCCTCCACTGAGACCATCAGTAGTGGACCAACTTTAACTTTCAGCCACTCTGAAAATTCTTGCAAATGGAGATAAATAACAAAATCCCTCTTCCAGCACATTTTTCACAATATATTTTGGGAAATCCTCAGCTGTTGGAGGTTATCGGTCACAAGACAAGACAGCGACCCCAAATGCCTATAAAACAACCCACTGCAACTATCACATAATGAAGAATTATAAGAGTGAGTTTTTCATAGTGAAGCTGGGTTGTTTTCAAAAACACAACTGTTTTTAATTTTTCCCAGCTGGTGTAGAAACTCAATCTGGTGACAGACTGTTCTCATGTGACCTTGTGGAAAGGGAAAATTAATTCTTCTTATTTTATTTGGCCATGATAATGGTATTAGAAATGCACAGATACTTCTTTACCGTACAGCGAGACACCCATGCAGTCAAACCTATGTGGTAAGACATAATTAAACGTGCAAATATAAACGCACGGACAACATAATGCTTGCTGACAGGTCGTGGGGAATTGAGGTTTGCGCATGTTGGGAAAAGATCCTAAAACTGAGGAGGAGAGATCATTGAGTTGATAACTGATGAAGAGGATTTTCATCAGGTTTTTATTGTTTCATTCTCAGCGTCTCTGTTTCTCTTTATCTTTCTCATCCAGGGCTGCAGAGTGTCGGTCGAAGCTCTGTATGTGTATTTGTTGTTTCTTTCTTTCAGTATTTGGTTATGGCTTTAGGGACACAAAAGAAGAAGCTTTAAGGCGAAGAAGAAAACATACATAACAAAACCTTGTGGTTTTGACCACTAATGATCACTGAGGCCAGCAGACAAACTGAAAGTCAAATTCACTCCCGTAACAAGAGTCTGAATTCAGTCTGTCATCAAACACATCCTTGCTGACCCAGAGTGGAGCTGGAGATTTGCTGACTGCATTTTTTAGATTTTACCATTCAAATTGATGATGAATCCTAAACCTTTAACAAATTATGAGCCTCTACCAGCATGTACAGTATGCTTTCGTCTTTATCTGTTACTATTTCTATGACAAATGCTTTTGTGTCTCTTTTTCTGTATGCATGTGACCGCTGCAGTATCACTGCAGATGTCCAAACTACTATTTGGCTCTAATTTGCGGTCTTCCTGCCAATTACAGTGCACTGAGGGATGAATTCTGATGCTGAAAGCGCCCAGCTGTGGAGCCAGAAAGGGATGTATACGTGCACACACACACTATATATATTTCCACCCTTAGTGGATCCTGGGATTGTGTGTCATTGGCATAAATCAGCGTTATTTCACAAGCCCCAGTAAATACCTCGTGACATTTAGAGAGAAACACCCAGAACTTTTCAACCTTGTCCGGGGGGTGGGGGGTTAAATAGTCAGATGCGGCAAATGAATTAACAGCTGTGCCACAGAGGCTTATGAAATTGATATTTTGTTGTGCAACCCCTTTGACGGAAAATGATGACGGCTAGAACACCCCCTACTGGGTCTTTAACCTACTCTCTCTTTTTTGGCATGTTTACCTTTACTCTGACAGCAGAGAGGCAGACAGTAAACAGGAAAAGGAAAAGGGGAATTGACACGTGCCAGAGCAGTCTGTGTTTTAAATGTTTGGAATATGTCAGCGTTATTGCTGTACGACAAAACATCTAATGAATCTTAAACGGGTGCCCTCGCCATATGGCTTCATAAACCACTCAGGAAGCTGTTTAGAAATGTAGGCCAAACAATACGGGACATACCACTGAAGGTGCTGGCGAAGGGGAAGCTGGGGTCATGTGGAACTCTTCCTCTTCCATTTTCCACATTTAGAGGGTCCATTGTGAACACGTGCTGGGGAAGGAAGACACTCAGTGTTTAATTCCTTAAGTATAGCTGATATAATGTATCAGTGTTTATTTTTTCTGATTCTGAGGAAAAGCTCAGCAGGTATGTCTCCATAGCAGAGCAAATTGGATCTTGTATAAAGGGTTAATTTTTTAATAACTGAAAGGCCATTGTTCTTCCCCTCTGTTCCATTGTCGACACAAATAAAAGAGACCATGGGCTGGTTTTAGTTTCACCGGGTGTTACATTTATTTGTCCTTTCAGCGAACCCGGCGACTGTCTGAGACTGACGGCGCTGTCTGAGATAAGAGGAAATGCAGGATCAGAGCAGTTGCCAGGGTTCAGAGAAATTTCCCACCCTGTTCCCAGTGCAGATTATTCCTTAGAGCTGTGGATTTCGAAGAGCCAGGAGGGTAATAAGTGTGTGTGTGTGTGTGTGTGTGTGTGTGTGTGTGTGTGTGGGGGGGGGGGGGGGGGGGGAGTCCGTAAAACACTTATTAAATCGACTTAAAATACAAACTTTGTCAACAATAAAAAAAAAGTGCTTCAATCCTGAGATCATAAATCTCAGTCAACACATACTCTGCAGGGAAAAAACAAGCAAAAATATACAGCCAAATTCATGACATGTAAATATAAACAGTTTTTTGAGTCTGTGGCCAGATGATAGACTGAACCGTACACCATGTTCATTCAAACCTTTCCTATTTCATTTATTTTCATAACAGCAGCATATCTTGCTGCACAGCAACTGCTGTTTTCAGCACCACCAACAATAGTCTGAAACAAGGCGACAAGAGTCTGCAGCCACATCAGCTCCTTCACTCACTCCAAAAACAGTCTGTGCTGGAAAAATGTAGGAAGTATGAATGTGACATCACTCTATATTGCATGTTGGGACAATGGCTGAACTTTGTGATGAAATCAAGTTGTTATCTGACCCACTACAGATTTACTGCTTACCTTTGTTTTGTTTGGCTAAAAAGTCTGTTAATTCAGTCAAAATCAAAGCCTGTCTCCAAAAAGGCAGAAGCAAAGCATCGTGTGTGCACCGTGACAACACCCCAAGGTATCTGATGGAGCACATTTGATGCAAATGACCTGGGGTTTGATGGGATTTTGGGGGTTTCATGACATGCTGAAAATGAGCCACACTTACATAGCTGTCACTTACCTTTCTGTGCTTTTGTCAAAATTAAAGCTAAACACAGGTAAAGTGATTCCCCCCCCCAACCTGGCAGTATAATTTGAGTATGCTGAATAGAAATGGATGGAGACATGATTTTACAGGTTCGTCCTTCAGTGCGTCCAGGTGAAGAATATATTTTAGGTTTTATAATCCAGTTCTTGCCTGCCAAGTTAACATAAATTCACATTCCCCGCTGACGTCCATTTTACGTGAAACTGCATTTAAATTCTACTTTTCTTACTCTGGCAGAGCGGAGTAAGGAAGCAATTAAAAAAGCCTCACACAGAAGGCTTCTTTGTCCTTTACCCTTTTGTAAAGTTCACCTGACAAATACTGGCCATACTGTATCTTTGGATTGTGTGATGTGTCCACTTAAAAAAGGGTCATTGTGGACAAAAGGCCTTGTGTTTTTCTGTCTTTGAATTTCCACTTCAGTGACACCAGTGTACCAGTCTGTGTTTGCCAGAGACGCCTGCATGTGATCAATTCCAAATGCAGTCAACTTCCAGGAAAAAAAAGGGGAATAGAAGGTGACAAGAGCAGCAGTAGGACCTCTGGTTTAATGCAAGTGCATGTTACTGATTTAAGTGTCCTTACAGTGAACTTTGTCCGTCTCAGTCTTTGTTCCTGTAATAAACAATGGAGCATTGTTACAAGGTGGGCGAGGCTTTGACTGAGCAGAGATCACAGGGGAGATGATGACATTGAAGTAGGCTTGATAAAAATACTGTAAGAAACACAGTGGACAGCAAATACGCCCACACACAGTGTGTCACCCGGGCAGTAATAAGTGCCAAATATCACGGACACGTCAAATTTCTTCACACTTCAAATTTAATGCACAAACTTTTTCATTTAATCTACATGTAGATTTTTGGTTTGAATGACTTTTAAAGGTGTTGAAGGGCAGGCATATGCACAGAATTCACACTTCATCAGTTTTTTAGATTACGAGGAGAAGTTAAAAGTAATCTGATTCATGTCTTGCCCTGTATGAGAATAGAACTCTTTAATTCTTCCAGTACTACACAAGCGGGATTTATGAGGGCTTCATTTGTCATTTTGACCAGATTTTATCCACACCGTGACAATTTTTATTCAAAAACTTTCATATGTCAATAACTTTATAGCATTTACACCTTTTGTGTAAATGTATTGTTTAATTAGTTCATTATGTCATACAGTAAACCCTTTCCTCCACCACTTTGACTCTTTCTGTGTTGCATTTTTTCTCATTTCCAGCTGCTTTCTGCTCTTTGTCTCCTCTCATGCATGCACAGGTCGTTTAGCTCATTCATTAGTCATCCTTATCCTTTCGGCACCTCTTCACTCACATGTGTGCACATATGTGTGTGTGTGTGTGTGTTTGAGTGTGCGTGTGTGTTTTGCATTTCTATATGCAGTCTTTCCGCTGTGCACTTGTGCAGCAAATACGAGTCGGTGCGGCTTTCGGGGTGTTTGCATGTGTGCGTCTGTGTTATCTCATTGTGATCCAAAGGAATGGCGCAGCTGCCTGTTCAGCTGATTAGACTGTCAGAGTCACTTTGCCCATACTTTGCCAAAACAAATACACAGAAGTGCCGTGATACAGGGAGAGAGAAACATCCAGGCCACTTTACACACAGCTGTGCCAAGCAAAACACATCGGACCCCCGCTACAAGACCAGCAAGACAAGTGACTACTGACACAGGCACACACTTCCATTTGTGTAATTTAACATGCGGAAAACTTCATTTATTTAGTTTATTCATTAACCTCCATCCAGCGGATTATTTAACCTTTAAATTAAAACTAATACTGAAAACAATGTTCACCCTTAATCAGCGGACTAAAAGAGAGACTACAGATTCAATGTTAAAGACTGACCCACCTTCTTATAAATGAGGTGCTGGGATTCACAAGACAGTGAACACAACTTTGCTATTAGCAGTATATCCAGGTGTTTTCTGTTCCAGCTGTTTTGGTGGTTTGACCACTTAGGGGGCTAATATTTTGTGACTAATGTTAGCAGTAATATGGATATGTGCGTTTTCATTGCTGACAGCAACTACAGTAAACCAGAATTCAATGAATGACAAAGTTGCATTCATAAATATAGGGCCCGACTTGTCTAGTAAAAACAACTCTATTGCTCTTATTGTTGGGAATGTGAAACCAACTACTGGTTACAACCAAGGGGCAACGTCTGAAGCTGAAAAATGAAGTGTTGAAATAAGCGCAGTTCCTCTACTTGCCATTTGAGGCTGGCTCCAAAACCCCCATAAACTCACATGTTAAGATGTCCAACTTTCAGCATTAAAAAGGATCGTTACAGCCTGCCTTAAACAAAAGGTCTGTACTACTGGATTTGGTCATTTCTTCATATAGTATAGATCTCTGTATCTTCCAGTGCATACACAGGTCGCTTAGCTCCTTCTGTTCTGTGGCTTCAGTGGTTATGAGAGTTTCTGCCTTTGTAATGACTCTGAAATGGGTGACATTTTTCTGTGATGCAATCATTGACAAGTGTCTCAATTAGCATCTCACAGGCTTCAACACTACTTAAAGTGATTAAACTGGACCTGTTCACGGTGTTTGTGTGCTGTTGAAACCTTTTGGAGGATTTTAATTTTGATTCAACTTCTAGGTTGGTGACTGCATCTACACTGTTACTTATCATTTAACTTTTACAAGACATTTCAGACTGAACGCCTTCAACCTCCCATATTTTTACAATCCTTTCTTTGTCAGGTTGACGACACAAATGGGTGTGTTTTCTCCACCAGTTAAATGAATGGATAGTGTCTCTTTGGGATTTTTCATTCTGATCCTAATCCTAAGAATAAAATAATAGGCTGCATGCAAAAATAACAGACAGGAACAAAAATTTGACTTTCAGTTTGAATTAGATCATCTGTCCCATTAAGATAAACAAAGGGAAAAAAAATCCCATTTTGTCCTTGATTGTTATAAATGTTTTGAAGAAGTGACGCCACATTAAAACATAAAATCATCTGTCCTGGACATTGAATCATCAAGTTTATTTGACTTGTCCGGGGTTTATTATTTAACATCAGATAAAATTTTGCGACACGGAGCTGTATAAAACACTTAACGTCTAAAAGTGTTTGGTCTCGCTTCAAACATCTTGGACAACTAGCAGACCTCATGTGACACCATGTTGTACTTGGCTATGTCCCCTCTGTCCAGTCAAATAATGACTGGGCTTCCTCTCTCACTATTCAACTCTCCCTCTGGGGGAAGTAAGCATGGGAATCACACTCTCCCATTTCATCTTTTGTTGCCTTTCATTCCTCTTCTGTTTTCGAATTTATCTTTTCTGGTTTTATTTGCTTTTGAAAATTACTGAATATTCGTCAGCCAAAGAGAAACAGTCTGAGAATGGAGGGAGATTAGAAGACAAGCGGGGAAGATAAAGCAAAAAAAAAATAAAGACACAAGGATAGACGGAACGAGAGCTATTGCCTACAATTATAGCAATTATTACAGTTAAAGTTGATGTAAACTACCAATTAAAATGAGACAAATGGGGCAAAATGAGCAGAAAAAGCACAGGCAGTAAATTTAGCTTTCACTTAAAGAGCTCTAGTGAAGAGTCTGATCCAAAGGCAACACACATGAGAAGACTAGAACAGGTGATTTACAAGGAATCAATTTTTCATCATTCTTTCAAGCTTTTTAGTTCACTTGCAGTGCTGTTACACTGACAGGCATTTACTATTTTTCCCAACGGACATGAAAAATAACTCTTTTTAGGCCATGATGGCGAGCGGAAATGATTTAGCAAATTCCTTACTAAGCAAGTTTATTTTTTTAAGCTCCACAAAACACAAATCTTAAGTAAAAGTCAGCTTTAACTGAAAAATGGACCTTCAGGATCAATGAAGCTTGCTTTAACTCCCTGTATCTGCACATATACATTGAACTTTTTTATGTTTGAATGTTTGCTTGTGTTTCTGTCTCCCTGTCCACATATTTATGTTTTAGCTGGTGTTATTTGTTTTGATGGCTTCTATGTGTGCGTATAAGTGTGTGCCCGTGTCTGTGTGTGTGTGTGGTCTTGTATCTTTATGTCGTCACTGTAACATGTTGGTTTATTTTCACATCTATGACGCTGCCCAGGCAAGCTGTGTCACTCACCGGGGGGGACTTCAGTTTATGTTAGTCTTTAAGTGTGGGGGAGTAAAGGAGAGAGAGAAGGGGGAGACAAAGACACACAGACCTGAGACAAAAATTAGAGGTTCATTTAATGGGGATTATGATGCTCTTAACTGATGATAATTCACTAAATCATGGGTCATTTTTCTGAAGCAAGGAACGCGACACACGAGTTCTTCTTGAATGGCCCGATGAAACTTAATCTCATTGCACATGAGCATAAAAAATGCTTTTAGTGGTTTTTAAATGTTGTCTAAGACACGCCTGACCTCCAAGAAATATGAACATTACTGACACGGCCAATCATGAGGTTACACTGGTGGGATCGTTGACCAGAATGTTTCCAAATCCAATTCTTTGTTTTCATCTTTGAATAAAAGTATGAAATACAGTTGGGCTTGGCTAACACCAAAAGGCAATAACAGCATGTCCAATACTAATAGATTTAGTCAAAACACTGTCTGACAGTGCATTTTATTCCACTGAGAGCCAGCTGTTGTAAAATGAATCAAATATTTTCTCACAACATGTTGAAATTTTTGCGTAAAACATTGTTGACAGTCAGGCAACAAAGTGGCACCAAGAAAAAGAGAAGGGGGAGAGAATGGGGTGCCACTGGAGCGATAGAAAGAGTATGTATGTGCCCCCTAACTGAGATGAAACACCTATGAGGTCAAAGGTCATCCCACCCAGAGTCCAGGAACTGAGAGCCTGCCGCCTCAGTTCCTGGGAGAGGTCAAGCACTCAAATGGGTGTGTTTTCTCCACCAGTTTACAATTGGTTATATAAATGGACAGGCTCTCTTTGGTGCTGTCCATTCAGCCGGACTCGCTGACTACCTGACAGGAAACACTTGTAGTCTGAGTGGTGGTTTTAGACAGACACGCAAGCTGGAGAGCAGCTGGCGTCATGATATATTTTAGGAGAGAAGAAGTGATTTGTTTTTTGACATCCATACGACTGTTGCAGGCTGTTCCGCTCATTAAATACACACCTGGGCAGACACACATACGTGTGCAAACACAACTATCCTATCACAAAGTGCATCCCGTGGGGCAAATAAAACAGAAGGAGCAATGATTGCAAAGACAGGTGCACCACCTTCATCATCTTAAACTGGATAGCAACAGATGATTCAATGCACTTTAACAAAAAAAATGACACCTACAGTCCCTGTAGTTTCGTAACTGGCTATCTGAATCATTCCTGCAGGAAAAAAAACCCATAACCGCTTACTAAGAAGTGCTGAGTTCAAGTGTGTTGCTTAGTTGCACTGGGGGCAGAAACTCCTGCACTTCCCAGGAGGCTGCAGTTTAAAACATGTGGCCTACATTTCTGCTCTGCTCCCAAATGCATCGCAACCCTTAACAAGGATTCTGCTGAACTGTTTCTATCTCCAGTGTTTGTTTCCCCAGTTTTGAGCCACGCAGACCACAGTATATTGTCTCTGAGCTAAATTATTTAACATGAACAGAGAAATATGTATTCCATTTTCCATGATGTGCCATAAAACCCAGAGTTCAAAAACCACACTCGGGATGACAGATCAGGGGGGAGGAAGAAAATGACACCGCTAAGGAGAACACACGCTGTGTCAAGCACCTAAATCCATAACAGAAAAGGAAAAATGCACTTCCTGTGCTTTATATGCACACACAAGCCACACACACAAATCAACACACATTCTACAAGGTTGGCACTCTCCCATCCCACTGTCTCATTTCCCTAACAGAGCGCTTTGCCAACATCCACCTCCCCCCTTCCCTAAAGACTGACCCTCTCCTGCTGGGCCCTACAGGGCAGCACACTGGGCAAGGATCTGTTCAAGTGCCGTTAAAGAGAGTCTGTCTTAATAGCTCCATTCATACATTCTTGTCCTTTAAGTGGCTCCAAGTCTGAGAGTCTGCAGAGGTTTCCACTCAGCTGAGCATCTGAGAGCCAGCCTGTGCATTTGAAAAGATGTATAGAGGGTTTAATGCTGCGGCTGAGTGGCCTGCAGAAAAACTCATGGTAGAGCTGCCTGTAGAGAATTAACATTGAACCTCAGGGATCTGTGCACAGACCCCAGTCAGTCTGAACTGTGTTTTTCTGAAAAGCCACATTGGCACCAACCCCATTTGCTCCATTAGACTGATTTCCTCCACAGCTTTGAGGCCACCCAGTCGTTCCTTGTATCATCTCATACATATACACTATTTCTTTTGTATGGTGCCATGCTTTTCTACTGAGAAGTAGTAAGGCCACCTACCTTTCATTATCATGTCAACTGTAAATTTTTGATTAACTGGCCTTTAGTCAGTGTTCATTTACTTAGTATTGACAAATTAATTTCAAATGAACATTTTAAGAGTCACTGGACAATATGTTTGATGACCAATGGAAAAGTGTGCAGAAAGTAACACCCATCTTTTTGAACTCTCTTACTATTTAGCTTGGTGGTTTGATTGTATATTACTGTCTTTCAGCAGTCTCAAAATATACATCATCGACAGTCATTTCCAGGAAAATTCAGGCCAATTGTATCTTTATATGTCCGACTTAAGCCTTGATTATACTTTCTGTACTTGTGAGTCTGCTGGGGTCTTCTTGGGTCCAAATGATATAAATTTCATCATCACACGGTGCGCAAAATGGTTGGTGGACCTCCACATGCCTGCCAATTTTTGTGTGGCCACAGACTCGTCCACTGAGGCTTTACATTTCATTGCAACAGCTACGTATGCACCCCAGGCAGAAGACTTTTAGTGGACGTCAAAGAAAACGTAAAAAGTAGAGCTGAAATGTAGGTCAGTGTAATGAAATATATTGATCCATGCCCGCTGCATGTGCATATAAACAAATTAGCGATCAGTAAAGTGTTTTTGTATGTGTATTTTAAAAAGAGAGAGAAGCAATAAAAGTTCTCAGCGTAACCTGCCAGAGTGCGTTACAGCATTCAGTGCTGTGATTGGTCAGTTATGTGGAGGTGAGAAGTCAGGCTCTTATTAAATTGTGATGTGAAATATATATTCAGAGTTTCTAAAGTTGCAGCTCAAACTGCTAATAACTACACAGTGCATGAAAAGCATGTATAATTTACAGTTCCCAAAAATGCAGAGTGAGTGCAGTTCACACTAAAATAGGAGTTTCCCACAACCGTGACAGCTGCACACCACAGAGCTTTCATCAGCAACCCCAGCTGATATATGTGTTTGCATGTCTGTGTTTTGAGGGGTTTGTGGCTGTATTTAGGTAACTGATTGTCAGTGCATGTTTTTCTATTTTCTGCTGAATGGTGGATGCAGTCAGATAATCAGCTGCCCAAGACAATCTGCAGATGTCCAAAGTTCTATAAGAAGCAGTAGCAGCCCACAGCCACCACCACCACCACCCGCAGCCCATCTTAAACCCTTCTTACCTCTCCTCTGTGCCCGACATAGATGAAGGCACACATGGGCTGGAAGGCACCAGTGCCACAAGCCAGGAGGTGCGTACGATTGTAGGGCTGCAGCAGGCGAACAAAGTTGGCACACTCTGTCTGCAAAGCACACAAACACACAGTCAGGTTAAAAATCTGTATTTCAAATATGTTAACAAACTGCAGACAAGCTGAGGGTACCAAAGAGAAACCAACAAGCTTATTGATACCAAATGTTGTCCTGAGCCCTGAGAAAGATGAAATGTGATAGCCTCCATCCAGGAGTGGTATCTGTGATTTTTGGATGTTCGCCAAAGCGATGATAAAGAAGGAAATTCATCATATTCAGGTCAAAGGAACTCATGAAACCCAAGAAAATCCTGGGAGCCCGTGTTAAAATGTGGTAGATAATTCTGGTGGTTTGGTATAAAACGTTTGTGGTTATGTAGAGGATAAGATGAAGAGTTCAGCAATAAATCTAAATTCAACTTTTGACAACAGCAACAAGAAAGAGAAGAGAAAAAATATAGAATCAGGAAGAGATCAAATCGGAAAGGAAGACTAGAAGCTGCTCCTGCTTTATCAGGCAGTCTGTAACTGAAGGAAATTCAGAAGAAATTCAAGTTAAAGGTCCTAAAAACAGAGATTGGTGACACATGACAGGAACAATAGAAGTAGTGACTAAGGAAATGAGTATTAAGACCTTTTTATGATACACAGAGTTGCAGAGGAAGCAGAGGGCATGACTACTTCCTCTTTCCTTTGTGTAACAAAGCAGCAGACAAAACGGGTGTCAGCCTGAGGAAAGAAAGGATCGGGCAGCGATCACTCGCAGGTCAAAGTCATCTGCACAATCAGTGCCTAAAGTGTGTGTGTGTCTGTGTCTGCATAAGCGTGCTTGACTGAGAGTTAGATACTAGAGTGTTGGTGAAGGTTTTTGTGTGTTGTGTGTCTATCTGCGTGTGCCATCTTGATCTCCACATGTGTGCATTTGCTAGTCTTTGTGTTTTTACAAGTGCATGTGTCGAGTAAATCTGCCATGCTGTGCATTTGGCCCCTGTCCCTCTCGATGCTGCAGTTGGACCTGAAACCGCCTCTGATCGTTTCCCCGAGTGCTTCGTTGCAGACCTGATGTAAACCATGTCACTGCAATAAGAGAAACAGTTTACATCATTATATTACTCTCCTCCACTGGATAATTTCTGTGTTTCAAACAAAACCAGGCAAGTGAAAAACAGAAAACGCATTTATATTAAAAATGTTTTCAGCAAATCTAAATGTACTACTGGTTTTTCGATGTACAAGCGTCTAGATTTCAAACATTCTGTTTCCAGTGAGGATGATGGGATATCATTGAGCCAGTTTGGCATAGCTTTTAAAGGTTTTCGGACACCGCGTCCCCTCAGTTATTTATCCTAAATTAGTGTTGTTTTACTTGCTTATAATTTAGCTCCAGCCTGTTGGAATCGTCTTCTAAAGGGACAAAATTAAGACGTAAATTTAATTTTGTGGTTATAAGAAGACAAACAGCACAGCCCACGTAGCCTATTGGAAATGAGTAGAAACCTTCCCCTCCTGCATTTCTGTGCTTGTACTCGGGCAGTCATCTGAAGATCTGTGTGGCCCTGAGAAAAGAGCGAATTGAAATGTTGAAAAGAGGAAATATGTCTCTCCCACTCTGGGACGTTTGGTTTCACAGTTCTGTGTGGGCTTACTGGGATTAAGTGGCAATAAAGGGAGTGGTGTTTAACAGAAAATGAAGATGTTTGATTACTAAATCTGGTTTTGTCTCACTGGGAGATCTCGGGGAGTAGTCGTAACAACGGCCAGGGCTGAAATTTACCACATAAAAAGTCATGGTTAGGGCAAGATGGTGAAAACAAAAGCATGTAATGTGCTCGTATTAACCTTTAATTAACAAGAGAAGGTTGCCGCCCTCCAAAATGTGTTCTCAGCAACAGTGCTTCCACACTTAAAGATCTGAAATTACCCACAGAAACCACATTTGTGTAACCTGGTATTTGGAAAGAAGAATGTACAGCATTTTAGACAGTGACCTTTTAATCTTTTGCTCTGAGACAAAAGTATCATTAACATAAGCAAATAAGATCCCTGCCAAATCTCTGGCAGAGCTTTGCAATTTGCAGCACTAAACCTCTTTTCCCACTGAATAAGGTTATTAATTTGGATCATACAGGAGTAAAGCAGTTTACTTTCATTAATAGTACAAGATTTCAAAGTGACAGTGAAACATTTGCAGGGTGCCACTGGAAAGAGAAACCTTTTCTTAGTTTTATTTGACATCTACCTTCCTACTTGTAGTGTGCACAATATACTATATTTAACATATTTTGCTATATTTAACATATTTTTCAGTCAATTTGAAGTAAAAAAACAGAAGTTGAAGAAACAAAGAAAGGTGAATGGAGACCAACTATGTTTAAACTAACTAAAAGATAGAATTGCAATCAGAAATGTATCTCCTGGGCTTATTGTGGCATGTACTTTGCTATTATGTTTAATCCTGGAAGGTCAGTTATGCACTGTGTGGTCGTCCAGGGTTATTTTTTTGCCAATAATACCTCATTTTGGAAGAGGGGATCACATTTGAGGAGGACTGCTTGAAAGTTTGAGGCACCAGTGAGATGCTGATTGGAGAAATTTAATTTTGCGGTCACTGGTCCATTAATTACCCGTGTCCTTGGAACACAAAGCTACAGCTAACATGGAGCAAACCACAGAGAAAGCTCCAGCAGCAGCCAAATATGTTTGAGGATGACTGACCCGGGTAGGGAGAGGCAGGTTTGGACATGGAGAGCAGTTTCCAGTATAAACAGCCAATGTTCAACAGAAAGAAATCTGTTATTCTGTAATACTAACAGGAAGTGAGGACCAACACATTTGTACACACGCACACGCACGCACACACATGCACACAAATATGCGCATGTATAACGCTACAGTGAACAGGACCTCCTACATAAATACAGACACACAAAAACACTGTGCAGGCAGTTCAAAGCTGGACAGCTGAATGGTGTGTTCAAGTCTTTGGTCTCAGTTGCTGTTTGATCCTCAAAGAAACGACTTTTCTCGATTGAGCAATGAAAGCACTCAGTCAAGACACGAAACTCCTGTGTGGAGACCTTTGTGGCTTCTTGGAGAACTTAAAAGTCATTCTGAACAGTTACAGACATTTGGTGCATCTTATTGAGATTTATATTAACACAAACAATGAAACGCAATCGAGAGGAGCTTTTGCAGAAGCTCCAATCTGGAGGCCAAAGGCTTTGATGTTATCATAGCTTGGGAGTCTGAGCGCATTATTTATCAAACGTTTATTTATTTTTTAAAACCCAGAATTCTTTATGCTTGGGATCTTGACATAATCAGGTCTTTCTACAAGAAATGTTGGAATACTGACACTATCAGGGCTGCCATTAAAGAAAAAAAGCAGAGCAGTGAGTGCACAATTGATTTTTGGAGCCTACATAAAGAATTCATGCTTCAAATATGCACGCTCAGATGTCAACTTTGCAATCCTAACACCCGTGTTCTTGATCTCAGTGATTTAATCCCTGGAAAGCTTTGTTTGTGCACCATAGGAACAACACTGTGACAATTCCTGGCAGCGATGAATTGATTTGATCATCAACCCAGCGGCAAGTGGAGGAAAATTTAAAACAAGACACTACATGTTTAGCAGAAGCTGCTGTCCGCCTCCCTTCCCTTCTGCCTGGTATTTATTTGTGTGAGCTGTGATTAATGGTGGTGAAGGCCATGAGGTTGTGATTCTGGGAGGAAACACTATCAGTAACAACATGTTTTAGGTGGTAGGCAAGTGTCAGTAGAACAGTATGGAGACAGACTTTCATTAAGGAGATAAGATAAACACATTTATTTATTTCCACCGAGTTTCAGTGTCATGATGTCAGGATGTGGATGCTGAAGATATTCATTCTACTGCAATGTGCTGAGAAGGAAAACTGCATTTCATTGCTTTTTTTTACTTTGTGTAACAAGGATTATTCCAAAGATTAAAATACATTCTCTATAAATTATGAACTGTATTTTTAACCTGATTTTCCTCAGTGTGATTGGACCTTTCTCCCTAAATCACCAAACAGCCACACACTAAAGTCCAAAGACCTTTCACCTTTCAACCTTTATCGCTTTCTGACAATAACCGTATAAGTTGTAACACATGCGCCTGTCTGTGTGTGTGTTCAGTGTGTATGTCTTTTGCTTTGTAGATTATATAGGACGCCGCAGTAATCCATCTCATTTGACACCAAAAAAAGCCCAGAAACACACAGTAAAGGAGATATGTGAAGGAATGCATAAAGGTGGCGGTGCAGTTTAACAAAAACTGTCAAATATCTCAATTTATTTCCCGTGTAGGGAAACACACAATCAATACGGCTCCTTTGGTACCAGTAAGGTAAAGTTTCACACAGCTGGTTTTCAGACCTGTGTAATAATGGATCGTGACATCACTTCTCCACTAAAGAGAGTACAGTAGCGCACACACATCCAGCACCGTATGAGCGGCCTGTAGAGGAAACACCTAATAAAGGTGATATAAGACACCCATGACACACCTGCCACTTCAAACACAGAGACTACACATACTTACAGACACACACATAATATCTAACCACTTCCAGATGGAGGGGCTGTCAAACTCCTTGCCATAAGCACAAAAGGGTACAAAAATTGCTGTGCTTTTATAACTCTTACACTATGTGTTCATTTTGGCGTGTGTTTGTGTGTTTGTGTGTGTCTGAGTGTGTGTGTTAACCAACAGTACCATTTGCTTCTCCAACTGGAACCAAATGCAACGATGTCTCATTAAATCAACCACACTCTAATAAACTTGCCTCCTTCCTTCCTCCAGTCCTTTCTTTCCTACTTCCTTACATCCTTCCTTCCAAAAAAGCACTGAGTTGATCTAAAGTTGCTTAGAACTTATGACATGATGCCATTTGGATAATAAGCTTTCTTGCTTGAAATAATCTTTTCTTTATTTCAATCAAATTCAGTTTGATATATTATTGTTAATTTCCTCTGTCATCATTTTTCTTTTGTATTTAAAGATGATTGTTAGCAGCTCATGTGTCCTGCTGCCAGTCAGATTTTTAAATCCAATAAACTTTGCCAGGATCAGCTCTGAAACCAGTTTATGACTTCTATCATCGTAACTTATGACTTCCTTCCTTTCAATTTAAAAAAATCAAATGTTTAGTTGAGCAGAAACACGGAGAGACAGACAACTGTTCACACTCACAGTCACAATGTGAACAATCTAAAATCACCAGCTAATCTAACCCTTTGAACTGCATGTCTGTGGACTGTGGAGATCCCATTTTTCTATGTTAAAATGTATTGACTCTTCTTATTAAAGATGTGTTACATTCAGTCACATATTTCATGTTTATATTTATGCAATAATGCTTTAGTTTAGGATCATTTTCAAAATAAATAGATTTCATAATGGACATTTTCCTAATATTAATAACATACTGATATGTTTTCATTTTTAAACCCAATGTTAAACCCGAGTGCTACATTTCCTTGACTGTAGGTAGTTGACTATAGGTTTAAACACATATATGTGGATGAGAAATGTCCTTCCAGCTTTGGGCTTCTGTGTCAGCGCCCAGATAGTAAATCACTATGTTTTTCCCTCCTCCTTCTCCTCCTACCTCTCTATATTCCTACTTCCCTGGCATCCTTCACTGAAGTCTTTATTAAGAGCTCTAATGAACAACAAAAATCTTTTCCCTCAACTTCCCTCTGATGTAGACTTCAATACAGAGAAACTTGTTTGGTTCCTAACTCATTAAAATGCTTACTTTTAATAGTTTACTATCTTTTAAGGCAAAATATGACTTGCCTTAAGGCAGGAAACTGCAGTGTCAGCACAACACAACATGGCACCAAACTGTCAAGCTATCCCATTTACTGCACACTTAGTAGCCCTAGAGGAACGCTCTGCTCCTCCCTTCATAACACACCATTTGAGGACTGCTGTTAATGAAAAGCATTGTAAATATTTTGCATCCTAGTTTTCAAACCTAATAAAATCTTGTTTTAAACTAAACAAAATGTAAACCCAACTGAACTCTGAATGCAGGATTTGGATCGTGAGCCTTCAGAATCATTTGGAGCCTAAAGTCAAACTTGGGAAGCTGGAGAGAGCCATCCCTCTGTCATAGTGGAGGTAGTTTATTGAATAAAGAGCTTCTGAGCACCATGAGCCAACTCAGGCACATTTATGGAGAGGTTCTGATGAGATTTTTGGCAGCAATGCATAGTCAGAGTCCAAGTTTCTGGAAACAAGGATAAGACTCTAAAGGTGGACATCAAAACTTTATAGGGAATAACCAGCAGCTTGGAAGACGTGCACAGGTCAGGTAATCCCTGAAGAATGGAAACGTGAGAGGAATTAAAGGGAAGGTGAGGCAGGACTGGGCATGAAAGTGTCAAGACCATGAATGCTCTAAACTCTAGCTCTTTGGGTATGTTTGAACCACGCTGATGGACGTAGCCAAACTGACAACACCCATTTAAAGCCAGCCAGGCAACAGAGACGCCCCCAAGTGTCCATTTGAAGAACAAAAGTGGAAACAAAGGAGACAGAAAAAACACTGGATGTAGTCGTGCCTTTTGAAGCGCTCATTTTGACAAAAAATAAGTTTGCCATTAAATCACCATATTGCAATGAAAATTAAAATAGCCATGTTAAAACAAGCAGATATTAACAATGTTAAAAAGCTACCTGTGGGTCCTTCCCTGTCTGAATGCAGTCTTCTCTGTTGCCAGGTAATGGAGGCCAGAAGATCTATGAGAAAACGGGGACACAGAAAAATTAGTTTGATGATTAATGACCTCATAACTATCAAATACTGTAATGCAAAGAACCGCCTTACTCAGCCATACTGCCAAATGTCATTTTTTCTTGGAGCGACTTTGGTGGGATAGAACAGAAATATCAGTCATTGAGTCGTTAAATGCAAATTATCTTCCTCAAAAATTCAACTTTTGTAGCAGTTAGAAGCAAATTGAGGAGAACAGCTCATCCACAAATGATGAAACAAGGCTTTCCAGTGGGCAGCCAAAGATGTTAGGCGTTAACTTTTGGCTTGTAAAGCTGAAACCCTGTGTGTGACAAGGCAAAAATGTACTTTCCACTCCAACACCAGAAGCCAGAGCCACACACTGAATCATAACTATCACAAGAAATAAATTAAAAACATCAAAAACTGAGCTATATAAAGTTTTTCTTTCAAGCCACGCAGATGATTTGGTTTGAATTTTCCCCAAGTTTTTGATATGACAGTGAAAGAAGGTCCTTTTGAGGTCCTCACAGTAAAACAAACGCATTTATAATGATCAACAGCAATGTCTTCTTAGTGACGATGCAAGGCCAAAGGCTTGTGGAAAGAAATGCTTCTGATGAATGATGTAATGCTCTGTGTGTCATTGTCCCTCTCCTCTACTTCCACAGCGCTGAACAATCTTTAGACCACAATGTAAGTCTTTTGGTTGAAATTTTCCATTCGCTTGGTCCGAAGAGCAAATCTTGCATGTACTGTACATAGGCTACACTAACATACTACACAGATGTCTGAAAGATTTCAAGACTTTCTTTTTCTGTGCCAAGACAGGAAATTAGATTTCTGGCTATAGATAAGCAGGGAGAAAAGTGTTCAGCCACCTTAAGAGTATCATTTCAACACCATCTGGAGCTATAATAAAACACAAGTTCTCACAGCATAGATTAGGAAACTCCCAGAGTCTTCCTCTCAGTCTGCAAATTGGATAATCCAATGAGGTGAATCTCAGAGAAGCATGAGGTAAAATTTGGACTTTAAACAATGGGGCTAGTTTTCACACTGCCACTGAAGAGAAAAGCCCAAGTCGGTTTGAGCTGAGCTTAAGTGGGGTGTGTAAAGTCATAGTGTTTGTGTACTACCACGAGTTTCTCTGAGACAATAAGTCTTTGTCTGATCTAACAGGAAACTGCCTTAGCGGGATGTTAGCAACCGGAGGGGAAAACAAATGGTCCTGACTTGCTTCACCATGTCTGATTGCGCTCAGCGCGTGGATGAACAGCATGTGCACATGCACTGAGTGCCACTGCGAAAGTCACTGTTATCAAAGAGCATTATGTTGATGGATGTTTATCATAATGAAAAACTAAATTGATGCACATTGTTTAGCACTGGGATCCATAAAGAAAGCCTTTTGGTCTCCTAGATGAAGGTTTAGCGCTTTGTAAACTAGCCGTCCATCCCAACTACCTCCTGGAGCTGTTCCGAAATAGTGTGCTTCATTTAGTTTAAACAAATCCAGCCAGTGTGTACACTGCAGCTGAACGTAGATGGAAACTGTTTAGTTGAGCAGAAACATGAATTCTCACCACAGCCGTGTGAGTGGTGACACGCTTCATCCAATTCTTTTCCAGCTTCCTAATCAAAAATGTATTGGAGACAAATCTTAGTATGAAATGGACACTATTGCTGATTCATTTGTCATTTACAACTCCACAAGCTGGCTTGCAATGGTAGAAATCAACTGGAAACAATGTATTCTGTGGATCAGGCTAAAGTTTGGCTTGATTATGGTCTGTTTCAACATTTTTTAATATATACACAGTCAAGAGGGTCTTAAAGTGCTCCTTAATTTTGAGACCATAAATGCCAGATGTATGCATTTTATTGTTTTATTCATCAAACACAACACGTTTTATGTGCTGTATGTAGCTTTTTTTTGCATTTATGCACAAAATAATCTGACATCTCTGCATAGCAACACAGAGCCAAGGCAAGATGTAAATGAAAACTTGATTTAAATACTAAAAGAAAACATTACGAGTCCTTTAAAACCTGCTCAGTATTTAAATCGTCTCTCTAAGAAGATTTAAATACTGATTTAAATGTCAACACAACCACCACTTTTATCAACACATCACGTTTTACGCTGTGCTCTTTTCGGGCCAAAGAGATCACTCTTTGGGTTAGATGCCATCTCCACAATCTCCAAGGAAACACACAATATACACTGTAGTGTGTAACCAAAAACTCTGCAAAGTAAACCAGTTGTCTAAACTTGCTGAAAAACAATGTTTTTGACAGCCAGCCACATTTTCAAGCCAGAAAAGCAAGAGTGAAGATTTCATATACATTTTTCAAAGACGGGATATCAAATACCAATCAAACGTGTTTATCTTTTCGCATGGAGCAAGTGGAATATTTATTCGATCACGTGAAACATTTAGATGTACTAAATCATTATTTGTTTTAGTTTTCCCTTGGTAATTATCATTACGGAAATTTTTCCACTTTCCTGATGTGATTCAAACCGTAGTGGAGCCAGTTCTGGGCTGACACATGCAACATGGACCGAGTTAATGCCATCTGATTTTTATTCGACTAAAGCCTTGAGTTTAGAATTAAATCACCCTGCATTACTGCACTGCTGGTCAGATTTATAGAGGGCACCAAACTGGGATTATATAACAGATATATACTGTAGACTTTTATGGGCAAAGATTAAGTTGAAAAGCTACAATATGCAGTACTATGAAAAAGTCTTCCTTGTAATTTCTTTAGGTAGTCTTCATGAATAGTTTCAAAGCTCTTCTTTGGATGTTTCTGCTTTTTGTTCTGTTCTTTGTCAAGATGATCCCACACTGCTTCAACACTGTTGAGGTCCGGGCTCTGGGGAGGCCCTTAACTGGTAGTGTTTCACTGTGTGTTTTTCTATCCAGGTATGCTTTTACTGCATTGGCAATGTGTTTCCCAATGGTTTTGCATGGTGGATCAAACTCTGATGCCACTTTTCTGTTTTAATATTTCCATCAATTTTGATAAGATCTCCAAAATCACTGAAATGGAGCCCCAAACCATGCCAGAGCCTTCACAGTGTTTTACAGATGGTTATAGACACTTACTCTTGTACCTCTTTCCTGACCTCCGACTGAGGATGACTTGAACGAAAACGTTCAAATTTGGATTCATCGCTCTATAAGACCTGTTGGCACTGATTTTCAATCTGCCTGTTGTGTAGTTTGGCATACCTCAGCCTTTTCTCCCAGTTTCCCTTCCTTAAGAATGACTTCTTGACAGCCACCCTTCCACTGAGACCATGTCTGATGAAGCTTAAGTAAACAGTAGATGGACCACCAGATGGGCCAGACATAGCTCCCATATTCTGTTTCAGGTCCTTGGAGGTATTTTTTTCCCTTTTTGTTAAGGGCGTGACTTTCATACCGTTCATCTGCTGTAGATCTTTTTTGGTCCTCCACTTGTCCAGGATACTTTAGATTTAAGAAAATACTGTACACTGTGCTGAAAGACGGCAAGTTTCAGCTAATAGCTCTCTTTGAATCTCGTTGTTGGAGCAGTTGACTGAGTTCTTCTCGCATTTAAGTAAAATTTGTAAGATCACTATTCAGACCAAACTTTTAATTGTAACTTTTGGATTTTTTCACCATATTTGGGAAGATCTTTGCACACTCATGCATGCTGAGGGAAACATTTGGCAGGTTAAATGAGAAAGGGGTGCATATTAAACTTACTAGCTAAACTAAGAAGGATGTGATTTTACAGCATGATGTAAAATCATGTTGTAAAAAGGGATAAGCTGTGGGACATGCTGTGCTTCTGGAGTTAGGCATACTTTCTCTTAGCGATGCTCCCTCATGTGAGGACAAACTAAAGTTGAAGTTAAACAAAATTTCTTTCTTCGAGTGCTGGTTTATGGATGATTTGGCAGATGTCCTTAATCTTGTAAAAATTTCTTTTACTGAACTCACAATGGCCGGCTCCTTTAGAAACATGGTTGTTAAACCTCACACCGCTCACAGCGCACTTTGTCGGCAAACACCGTGTGTGATCACGAGCCAAGACAGAGAGCTGTGAGAGAATGCGAGAGAGGGATGGAAAATTAAGAGGTAGATACGGTGAGCGACATCTGGCTTCCTGCGTACTTAAATTCCCCATTCACCCATTCACTTCATGTCATCAGTCTCTCTGACCCATGTACACGCACCGCTGTTCTTAGCTAAGTGCTGTAGCACACCGGGGACTTTGGTTTGAAAGGGTTGTTTTTGTTCACTATGTACTAGAAACCAGTTTAATGGAACACAGAGTAAACTGGACATCCTAGTGGAAATTTAAATATTGATGCAAATTTGCAGTACATTCTTGCTCCAAAGTAACACAGTTAGATGAAATTATATCCTGTTTGAACCTAAACTCACACATTTCCCTGATGACAAATTCTTCTAATAAAAACTGTCTGAAACCTTATAGGATGCAGCTGAAAGGTATAATAACTCTGTAAGTTCACAAATCACAGCAAAACCCCATATGGATTTACTGTTCCAGAGCATAAATACTAATAAAACCTAGATTACACTCTAGTATGAAATGCATTTTTTTTCAATAATTTTTAACATATTCAGTCTTTTTGACTTAAACTAATCAGTGATTGTTCTCAACTTAATCTAGACTGTGAATTAGATACTTTCTTTTAATATAAAAAAAGATACATTTTCAATTTTAATTATGATAAAGGCAATAGAACATCTCTTCTTTTTGTTTTGGTCAGACTCTCAGTCTGTGATAAATCTGCAGTGAGGTTCCTGGTTTATAATTTACCTTTCAATTCTCTTTGCTGTTACAGTGTTTAACAAACCTTAATGACAAACCGGTGCTGAAATTAAAAGCAAAGCAGACAGAAATACGATGTTTGATTTATGGGTAGCTGCATTTTTACAGGTGTTCCTTTACTGGGAAGGGTAGAAATGAAGTGTAGTTTAGAGGATACCTGTTTATAACACAAGAAGTGCAAAAGGTAATGTAAAAGTAAAGAAAACAGCGAAAACCCCAATAATCATATGACTCCCTATAAGCAGTTTAGCAACAGTGGGAAGAAAGAACTCCCTTTTAACAGGAAGAAAACTCCAGTGGAATCAGGCTCACTGAGTTGAGGGTGATGGGAGGAAGACTTTTCAGTTTGATGCAATACCAGTAATATTAAATGAAATGTCTGTTGCCATATTTGTAGCTGATTTGTAACAGAACACTTAAACAGATGTTCTACAAGGAAGGAATTCTGATAAAATGTTAAATCCTCCATCTGTCTCTTCAAGTCATAAATCATCTTTCTACAGGGTGAAACCACTTGAAGCACAGTGTCCACAACCTAAATCAAAATAAAATGACAAATGTAGACTGTGCAGTAAAAAAAACTTTTACTGTGCATCAATCATCGAAGCAGAGCTCTGCATACTCAGAAAAAATATATAAAACACATCATTTTTACCTCTTTCGATTCACTGCTAACAGGTCCCAGCGTGAGAGAGTACAGGACGTCTTTCCCGCCCAGGAATAAACGGTCACGGTATTCATCCAGGAAGACAGCGGTAACAGAGAGGTGGCCATGGTGACCGCTGAAGATGGATGACCTGTTGGTGGACAGCAGGTCTGCAAAGAGAGCAAGGCATTAGTGACAGCAGAAAACATGGAGGAGTGCAGACTAAAAAATAGAACAAAGGCTGTAATATTTTTGGGTGCGCTATTGTCACGGCCCTGCTATTGTGCATTCTGAAAAAATGCACTTTTTGCATTATATTTGCTGTATTTTGTATGGGATTCAAAACTTTAGTGTCAATTCATTTCACTGAAATCAAATTACTTCACTGAAGTAGTTCTTGTAGTTAAAACACAGCACTAAAACAATAAGAGGAAATGTTAAATATTAACATGATGCAGTACTGCAGAAATTCATGATACTAAAAGTAAAAGTACCATGGTAACGAATATGGAGCGATTTGGCAGCAGCTTCAAAGAGGTTCTTGCAATAACTCTGCAGGCTAGGTGCAGACTGAGGTGAACTCGAGTTCAGCTAGACGCAGGGTGTCTTCTCTTCACACACACATACACTGCATATTGATGCACGTATACACCACAAAAACCAAACACAAAACCCAACTGCCTGGAAGTCTCTGACAACTTTGACATCTTCTACTCTCTCACCCAAACACGTCTTATTTTTTCCCACTTTTTCTTTGTTTCTGTTCATCTTTATCGCCCGCCACCTTACTTTCTTTCTGTCTAGGTATGAAAATGAGGAGAGAAATGTGTGTGTGTGTGTGTGTGTGTGTGTGTGTGTGTGTGTGTGTGTGTGTGTGTGTGTGTGTGTGTGTGTGTGTGTGTGTGTGTGAACACGTCGCTGGTATGTCAGACTCTCAGCGGAGGAGTCAGCTCGGGCTGAATCGACTTTTCGTTTGTCTCTCATCACTCATCTGTCACATCGGTTATTTCTCTCCTCATTTTCACTCAGCACAATACACACTGACTAGCATGCACAAACACAGAGAGTGAGAGGGGGAGCCCGAGTCACTCGCCACTCAGCGTGAGTACTGACTGAGTGAGGCAGGAGGGTCCTATGTACCAGTGATACCTTGTCCATCACTGGGGCCATGTACACACAATGGAGCTGTTTTTATAAGAAATCAGCATTTTTCCACATACATAAGCATGAACACTTTTCAGCAGTGCTGCAAGTATGCTTTACTTTCTCAGGTATTATTTCATCACTTATCCACCATTTATTTGTTTTAGCTCACACTCTCATAAAGGCCTTCCAAAGAGGTTTCCACTGATATTGACATTCATTTCATCCTGTGTCTTTGCTGAACAGCCAAAAGTTTGGCTGATTAATGAGAAAATTGCCAAGCAATAGCAATATAAGTTAGGGAGAGAGGAAGTTAGACAAAGTTAGAGAAAGAAAGAAATAATTGGTAAGAGAAGGAATGCAGACATTGAAGAGTTCAGCAACTGGTAAGAGTCTGAAAATAATTAGAAGGCAGACAGACAAAGAGAGCAGTACGACTGATTGATTTCTTGAAACTGGCAGGGCTGAAAAAAATATGCTGGAGAGACAGAAGGAAAGATAACCGACAGTAGCTGAAGCTCAGCAGTCTCTTCCACCCTCTGCAACTTTTACATCTGCCACACAGAGATCCTCCGCACTGTTGCTTTGCTTATTTTCACAAACCAAGCATTTCCAGGGACAGCTTCAACTCAGAGATGAAGCTGTTAAGCTTCTTAACAAGCATAACCCCAGAGCCACGTGGCTGCTGCACTTGAACTGGACTTTATAATTAAAGAATTTATGTAAGGCTTTATGTTATAAAATTGTGTATTTTCTAATCAGGGGCAGAATTAATTTATAGCCTGGCTGCTGACAACATTACTATCTCTTATAGACAGAGAATAGCATTTATCAGTCTCGTGTTTTCTCAAAAGTCCGACATGTTTTGCATCATTAAATCCAAACTCTTCTTTTTTCTTCTTTCTCAATATGAAGTGCGTGCAGTTCTGAGCCATTTGTTTTCCACAGCACAATCGGATTCATTCTGTTTCCACCTACATGCACACAAACCCACTCAGACTGAAAGCAGCCTTTCTCCCTCCCGTTGTTTCTCATAAATTACTCGATTGTATACACAAATCTTCCTCAAACCAAAGCAAAAATGCAGCGACATAAATACCAGAGCGCACATACACAGAGACACCAGCAAGCACACCCAAACAGAGAGGAAAGGTGAGCTGACAGCTTCCATCTGTAGCTTGTTATCACTCTAGCAGCTCATCACCTCAGTGTGGAAATCACGCCAGTGTCTCACCTCTCACCAACCTCTCCCCCTCTCTCTTCCCTGCTCTCTATCCAGCTTCACCTCACCTCTTCTGCGTCTCCACCACACTCAGTCTCTTCTGTCTATCCATCTTTAATGTCCTTACTTGAAGTCATTTTTGAATAATAGAGTCTTAAGTTTCATCTCTTGTTTCTTTCTGTCTTCCTGTCCCTTTTGCTACTTGATCTTTATTCCTTGTCTCTCTTCTTTTTATCCATCTTTTTGCGCAGTCTATATATACATCCACAAATTCATGACAGCATCCATAGTGAAACATCTGTCTTCAATGTGCATTATTTCCCTAAAAGCAGTCAGCCAGTGCTGCACTGACAAACAGCAGATGTGCCAAAGCAAAGCGACACGCGAATGAGCATCTGGTTTCACTGTGTCAACCCTCACGCAGTCTCACCCGCTGCAAAGATGTGTTTGCAATAATTTATTATTGATTTGTTTACATTTCACTCTTCTGCACAATCGGTCTAAGGCATGCCCTGGTGTTTGTCAAATCTATACGTCAGACGTGTGGACTTTGCAATCTCATTCACTGCCCCTGTTTTGCATACTACTCTTTGATCCAGGAGCCTGTGCAGTGAAGGAAAGAGCATGAAAAGGAGGAGAAGTGAGGTAAAATTGAGGGCACCACCACTGCCTGAATAGATTTTAATTTGGTTCTTAACTAGGAGGTATCACATGTTCTGCTGAGAAAACTTATCTGCAACTGTTTTTTCCATCATGTTAAGCAGTATGGCCTCTCCGTGTGGAGTTTGCATTACCTGCGTGGGTGTCTCTCTGATGTCCAAAGGCATGCACGTTTGGCTATCTGGGGGCTCTAAATTACATGTAGAAGTGAAAATTGTGTGTCCAGATTGGATCCTACTTCATGTCCAATACACGCTGGAGAATGGATGGATGGACTATGACTAGACCACTAATAATGCTGCCAACTTGCAGACTCCCTCAGAGCAGTGGTCGGATTTTGCGGTCAGACTGAGGTTGAAAGGCTGAAACACAAAAAGTAACTGGACCTGGACAATCAAATGAAATGAATGAAACCAAGAAGTTAAAAAAGTTGGGGAGATTAATGACACACTATTAAGCAATTTTTCTTTTAAGGTTAAAAAAAGACACTAAAATTCGGTAATTGTGGATTAGGAGTACATGCAGTATTGTGCAAAAGTCTTAAGATGTCACTTTCACATACTGCTCTTCTGCTATATTTGAACTTTTAGGTCTGGAACTTCTTCTTTTGTCCCCTTTGTTTAAGGAAACCACACTGAGATATGCCAAAAGAGCCATGAAATCTTTGGGAATCAGCTTGTTGGTGCAAAAATACTGTTTTACGCCTGTCCAACTCTGTTATCTTTGTCATGTTTCATTAATTTTAATGATGAAAAGGGAACAGAATTTGTGATAGTGATGTGGCAGGCTAGTAAAAGCAAAGGGTCTAAAGATACAATTTAAAATTTGTTCTTTGCAAACTTGTCTCTTATGTGCAGACACAACACACAACACGGAGGGTACATCCCATGGGTTGTATGCTTTAATGATTCAAAAGTAAGTGCTAAATGGCTTTACAAACCAGAAATGTTTCTCTGAAAATAGGCAAGTTAATGATGAGACTGAAAATGAGTGAGCTGTGATCTTGAGCGGTGTCTTAAGACTTCTGTGCAGCACTGTATGTTGCTGTGTGGGTCACTGATGTCTGGTGCCACAAAGTTTGCTTAAAATTTTAAAATATTGCCAAACAAGTGAATAACAATGAAAAGAAGCTTTCATGTGCAGCAAATATGCCTTTTTTCAATGAGTACCTGTACAACTTATTATCACACACACCATATTTAAAGAGTGTCTATGCAAAGTCGCAATATTTAGGAGGGATTATTAACACAAAATCTCAATGGTAAACCTAAGAGTCAGTGTTTTATTGCCAGCAACACACACTTCTGTCTGCACTGTCCGCCAGTCTGCTGCTGTCATTTTCATGGCTCCATTTAGTGATGAAGAATAAATGTAAGAAGCTGGTTTGAACTGAGAATTTTATTAATGGACTATCGGAAACAAAAGAAAAAGTGGGTTGGATAACAAAGTGAAGAAAATATAATATACAAATTGGGCACAAGCAAAGTATAGGTACAAGCTATGTTACGATATATATATATGTATATATATATATATATATATATATATATATATATATATATATATATATATATATATATATTAGGGGTGCAACGATATTCGTATCGATATTGAACCGTTCGATACAGTGCTTTCGGTTCGGTACGCATATGTATCGAACAATACAAAATTTGTAATTTATTTTATCAACTTTCCTTCTGACGATGCTGTCTGTGTTGAGCGCTCAGTGAATCTGCGTTCGACTGCTCCGCCTAGGGTCGACAGTGCAGCCTAGGCGGAGTAGTCGAACGCAGATTCACTGAGCGCTCAACACAGACAGCATCGTCAGAAGGAGGAGCGCAGGGCAAGCTAGCGAGACAGAAGTTAAGCTCTCCTTACAACATGGACCTCCCCCACCCTCATTCAGATCTGGCGTTTGGAATTATTTTGGTTTTCATGTGACGTATGACCCTGAAGGTAAGCGAGTCATGGACTAAAGTAAAACAGTATGTTGGATGTGCCATGCAATGCTCAATTACATGGGTGGGAACTAGTGTGTTAGCGCAGTTAGCTCGTCAACGTGTTGGCCGTCTAGCCCCATGCACGGGGCGATCGGCGGTAGCTCGTTAACGGAGATTTGCCGTGTTGTGGCGTTAAGGTCATTTC